CCCCCCAACCCCATCATTCGCTAAAACAATGGTTCCATAAAATTCCTTCTGTCTATTGGTTGGACCCCGTTCATTTTGTTTTAAGAGGGGGGTTGGACTATACCATCTTTTGTAAAATAAGGGGAGCCATACTAAGTGTTCCGTTCCGTTCTTGCGCTCGTGAATCGACTCAGCAGTAGGTTAAACTAGCCACAAGGTGGTGACAGCAACAGGGGAGTGAATCGAGAATCGTTTGGCGATACTGTCCCGCTTAAGTGAATCATGAATCGCGTTCCGCAGGAAAGAGTGACGATTCAGTTCCGTTCTCGCGCTCGTGACCCAGCCCTAGAAATAACTCATCTTTGGCGGCCATTTTCTCACTTATTTTACCTCTGAAACCAGGTGACCCCCACTTCCATCAAATATCTCAACTTCTATTCAGGATCAATGGACTTTAAAAAAAATCCAAAGCAAGACAAATGAACATGCTTTATTATGACACCAATATCTGTACATGCCCAAAAATTGACGAGAGCCTGATTCCACCGCGTCGTGACACATATAAGTGCCGAAGATGAGAAGGTAAACAGAGGTGAACTGGAACACAAACCTGATCTCCTTTTGAAGTTCTTCTTCGGCCGACTTGTTATCTCCAGGACAAATCTTGGCCCTGAAACTCCGATGACTGCCACTGAGCGAGGTGTCTGTCACTTGAATTTTAAAAAAACATTTTAAAAAACCCAAAAATCAATTCAAAATTATAGAAGTTCCCACAAAAAAGAGATAACTTCACTCTCAAAATTCATTCGCACAAAATCTCGGCATTTTTGCGGGACTGTTTCATGAAATCTGTCTTTGACATATAGCAGTCAATCACACCAACAACATTAAACCGTTTATTCGTAACCAGGTAAAAATGTCGCAAACATTTTAACAGACAAACTGGAGAGGAAATGGAATTTACATTCTACACTGCAGGAACAAACAGCTGGCAAATTTTGGTGCTACATTAGACACCTCTGAAAAAATCATTACCGTGAACTGGGGGGGAGAGAAGAGGTCAAAACAGGAACATAATAACCGATAGTTCAGACTTTTTCAGACACCTTAAAAAGAGATTAAGTCTGATCAAAAGCGCAAACTAGAGTTAAAGCTCAATGAATTTAAATTAAAGAAACCTATCCTCAGATCCAATAAGAAGATGCTAAGCAAGAACAAGTACAACAATAATCTGAAGTCACTTTGTCCTAATAAAGAATATCATGCTTTTCATTAGTTATTCTCAAGAAGCTGTTTTGTCACTGTGAACAACTCATGACAGGGGACAATAAGTAATTTCTCTATAACTATAACATTATAGGAAAATCCTAAGCAAATAGGCAAAATAAAAATGTGTCATGACGTGGTGGAATCAGGCTCTCGTGAATATTTGGGGATATGGGATTAGAGGTATTATCTTAATCCATTGCACCTGCACTATGAGTATACTTGTAGCTGCCGCGCACTTCCGTCCACCGAGCTACGAGAATAGTCATATCAAAATACCAGTCCACAAATCGAGTCCTAACCACTTATCCGGGTTTCTATTGAAAGTAACAGGTCGCTTGTGGCTTGTAAAAACTTTTGCTAGCTTGTTTAGATCCAGTTTTTCGACAAGTACGAGTTAGTTTTGTTGTTTTGTCACTGCAAATCATGGCAAGAAAGCGAGCACTGAAATCTTTATGGAAGAGAAGAAAAAGAAACATCCACAAAAAACAACAACAGTGCCATGGCTATTTTTGTGTTTGTTATAATACATGAAACATGTTTTTAGTTTTGTTTTAGGCATAAGCGGAAAAGAAAGTGAAAGTAGACATAAATCTAGAAAAACAAGGCGATCGGATTGATTCTATTGCCTTGAAAACTGAAGAAAAGCCAGATCTAGACCACAAATTTACTATAAGTTACTATGGGTAAATGGAGTGTCGACGAGTCGCAGTCAGACGAAGAATATAATTGTTTTCTCTGTTTTTTCCTTTCCCTTTCTCTCTAATAATATTAAAAGAACATTTTAAGTAAAATCTAAGCAAAATGTAACATTGATAGCTTAAATAGTTTGGACACAATGCATGTCTAAGGATAGTGTGTCAAGTTCAGACAGATTTTTCCCCCGGCTCGCGGCAAACCAGGTGGACACAAGTGCACAACCCGCGGGCAACGCAGGGTGAATTGGGTTAAAGGTTATTCATTTGCCTTGCTTTCGATGCAAAAAATATCCATTCAACTTGAATAGAAGTTTATATATTTGTAATTGAAGGAGGTGGGATCATCTGGTTTCAGAAGTAAAATTTGCGAGAAAATGGCCACCAAAGTTTGGTGACTTTCACAGCTTTAGTGTCCTCAGGGTGTCCAGCAATATTTCCTTAAAAAATTTACTACCTGGAAATTTTTTTTTACTACCCAGCAAATCGAGCCCAAGGAAGTTTATTTGCACCATCAATAATATATTACTCTCATACATAATATATGGAACGAAAATAACACACAACAAAGTCAAGTCGACAAAATGGAGTATAGACAGACGCGCTAGATTTAGTTTTAGTAAGGTTTTTACGATGCTCGCAACTGCATGTGGTCATATGAGCAACAAGGGGTGGATGTCAACAGAGAAGTCCAAACAGGAAATAAAGCTTACTCTGCTCACCTCTCTAGCCTTAACAGCACAAAGTCTGCTTCGACTATAAAGGCACCCCGGAAATACAGTGGAAACCTGATATAACAGGGATGGTGGGAGTAGAGAAAAAGTCCTGTTATATCCAATCGGTGTTAAATCCGAAATGCAAGGAAAAGGAGCATTTATTGTGGACTAATCTAGCTGTACTTATTTATGGGTAGTTTCCCTTGCCACAAGTACCCACGAACATGGGTTTTGGCACCGACTTTCTCCTTGCGTCCTTAAACCACATGAGAAGAGCTTGGGTCCACAGCATCTGCATCAGGTAGTCTCATCTTCTGTTTATCCAGAGCAAACTTTTCATGGGAGTATGCTGCCACTATCTTCTCTCTATCCTTGATAATGGTGTGAATCGACCCTTGTGGAATGTCGAACTGACGAAAAATCTCTGCCAGTGAAGCTTGCTTTTTGTCAACAGCCTGGATTATTTCATATTTTTTGTCAATTGAAAGACATTTTCTCTTGCGCTTGACATCGTTGGCGACCATAATGAAAGAAGTAGGCTTAGATCTAGGCCGACCGGTCGTCCTCTCTCTCTCTCTTACTTTTTACACATTGTTAACGAGCCTATGTCCCTGCTATAACCGGTTGGGCTTGATGAGGCCCTGTTATTGCAGATAACTTTTAATAGAGACATAGAGTAGGAAAAAACGGGGATTTTGAACATCTCTGTTATTACCGAATCCCTGTTATTACCGGGCCTGTTATATATGATTTCCACTGTAGTAGTTAACAGGAGTGACAAACATACAAAAGAAGAAGAGGAAAATGATGATGGTATAGTAAGGAAGACGACAGCAGTTCCCTCTACGTTGTTCCAGTACAGTATGAGTATGAGCATGACATTGATAAATCAGCCCATATTTACAATTCTACTGTGCATATATATATGCAGCATAAGTATAAGAACATGTTAATATTCCCCCTTTGGGAATGGCATAAAGACGCTTCAGTCAGTAGCACTGCCCTGGTGGTGGTTGGGGGGTGTAGATTTCGACCAAATGTGTGCACACAGGGCGACTCCGTCAAATTGGCTTCTCAATTTTTCAGGAGCATGTTACACACACACAAGTAAAATATATCCAGTCAACAACATGTCAGCGTCGCACTGCGGTCTTGTTTGACTAAAGTATTTCAGTCTGTTAAAATATTTTCCTCTCATAATTATATTTAAAAAAATTAATCCTGCTTTGAGCGTTCTGAAGGGACTTGAACAAGAATTTTGCCTGTCAAAAAGCAGTCTGGGCGTCATGACTCATAATACTACGAATGTGAAAGACAAAAATTATTGCTCAAACTCAAAGTAGAGCAATAACTTGAATGGCTCAAGTAGACCCATGCAGTGTGAGAGTTGTAACAACTGTAGCAGGGCAAGATGCAGTGACACTGAAAATCTGCCTGTCTTGAACAGAAAGCTACAAAATTGTTTACAATTTACTATCACCCACCCAATGAAACGCGAACACTTTACTTCAATAACACAGCTCACAAGGTATGAAGGATCCCGATCCCACACACGACCTGCACCAATGCATGTTTTGCAAGGAGCTCTAAATCTTATTAAAATTGAGAAATTTGCTTACAAGTTTTTATCCTCTGGTGTTGCCTTCAGCCCCCCTCCCCCGTGTATCTTTAAAAAAAAATCAATAATCCCCTGCCATTCCGTAGTCCCATAGGGCCTATATACTTCCCAACGCTCAGACTTTGAATGAACTTTGGCGACCCCAACAAATGCCGGTGCTAACACTAAGCCGTATCTTGTGATGCGAACGCGTGCAGGTTCACTGATCAGACACCATGGCGAGCCAGACAATCTAAAAATTGAACAACGCTTGTTTTTTCTTTTCTTTTTTCCCCATCACAAGTGACAGCACAGTGGCGAGTCAGAGTATTGATTAAATTTTGTTTGCATGGCGACAGCGTTTATCCTGAACCTGGATGTCACAAATGTTGCGTTATCAGTCTATCGCCATCAAATTTCTGGGTGGCAACGAAAGCGAAAGTAAATCTTGATTTTCCCGATCGAGCCTCGGTGTCACATACACTTCCGTCTGCCGCCATAGCCGCCTTTTGTTATGAAACGTACTCTCGGACGTGGAAAAGGTGAACGAATATTTTTTAATCGCGACCCGCAAAAACGGAGTCATGTACAACGGCTAGGGTTCACTGAGAAGTCTTGCTGGCTTCATCACTCTGTAGGCAGGCTAATTTACGACTGTTTACCAAATGTTTACTGGGCGCCGAATTTACAACTTTGCAGGACACCCTGAAAGTGCAAATTTACATTTTTTTTGGTGCCTTTAACCAAAGTTTTTCCATAAAACCTACATATAAAAATGCCCTTGAAGTGACATACAAGGAGTTGAGCCAAAAAACAAAAGAAGTCCAATCTGGCCAAAAAAGGCAGATTTCTCGGATTTAATTATTTCGACGAGTGCCTGATTTCACCACGATGCCTCACAAATGACAACGTAAAAATCACCCTAAAAAGTTTTTGTGCTGACTTACGGCACAAACATTTACAACAAACAAAGATACGAGCGTGTCAGGCGAATAGGAAAAGAAACAAAAATTCTACATGCTAGGCATCCGAGATATCAGTTTGACTAGCTGCTACACAGAACTCTTTGTGCAACCCACTTTGTCCATTGCTGCATTATTTGATCTATGTCCAAAATAGCTCTCCTGATTTCTACAAGGAAAGTACAGTAGTCTCCGCCTAAACGCACGCCATACAAAAGCACGCTCCGCTCAAACGCATGCTTTCGTCATATGATGGGGTTTTTTTACGATATAATTTAGACGTACAAAAGCACAGTCACTCTCTCAAAACGCACGCTTCGATCCTCGAAACACACTGACAAGTAAAGCTTGACAAGGGGGAAATTTTCTTTGCAGCCTACACAGAGTCTAGAAAAACGGATATTTGGCGAGACTGTCCCTCACGCAGAACAAAGAGAGTGATGGACAGCATTTTCACACCTCACTTTCCACAGACATGTAAGTTTCGGGACCGGTCAGGTGATATGTTGGGAAGGGGGGGTAGGACTGAAATGTCTTTCGATTGGTCACTTGAAACGCGTCTTTTAGAGGATGTTTCTGACTGGTGTTTGAATGACTGCATAGGTCATGGTAAGTTAAAGTTCGGCCTATGATGCTTAACCGTTTCGCACTTACAGCGCCCGTATGCGCTCGCGGCGGTGACCCCCGCTCATCCCTATAGCGCTCGCCACGGGGGTGCTTGTTTTTACTATCATCAGAAGTTTAACTTAGCTATCTTTATAGAGGAAGAGTTCCGGTTTACTATGGTGTTTTTCTTGTTTCGCTAGCACAAAGAGTCACTTTTTGAGCGGGAACAAAAGTCGGAGGAGATTTTAGTTGTAAACACGCCATCATGTCTCTAGGATGCATGGGCGCAAAGCTGCCCGATATGAGTACGGCAAAAACAAAATAAAAACACCCAAAGAAAAGTCTTTTAGGTGCTTTCAAGTTTCCACCAGAGGCTTCAATCTCTGTGAATGTGTTGTATTTCTTTTGTGTGGATTACCTCTTTGTCAGTGGCAGAAACTTCGTGAGTTGAAGAAATGTAGTATACGAGGTCTAGATCTAGATCTAGATCTAGACTCGGAATCCAAGACACGCATCTCAGAAAGACCTCTCATATCATTTCATACTCTTCTATTCCACTTATAATTTTGTACTAGTAATTTAGCTCATTCATTTTCCTTTCAGAAAATACTATTTTCATAATTTTTGGTTTTGTTTGTGATTTTATACAATTTTTTTTAGTAAGGTACCCCTTCAATTTTCGTGGAGTTGTTGCCCTTGTCTTAAGGATGGGGGGCCACAGCTGGCCAAGCCTGCTAAGTGCGAAAGGGTTAAAACGCGTGACGGCTCTAGAACACTAGATAGGTCTGTATAGGAATAAAAATTAGTCAAGTAATCAGCTGCGCTCAAAGAACTTACAACGTACTAGTTCAACGAATCACAAGAGAAAAGTCTCTTGGAATGTCTGATTCAGATGTCATCCATACATATGCTGAGTTGCAATAGATGACAGACAGTCGGGAGTGGTCGCTTGGAAAGTCGCGCGGCTGAGCGCTTTTTAATATGACTGGATCTGTCACCAACATTTAAATCCTCATTCTGTTCCCGACATTTTTTTTTTAGTGCATATCAGTAAAGCAAGTCCGCCCCCCAATTCAACGACTTCGTATACATAACATAACCGCAGTCGGGGAACCCTTCACAAAACAGTCACGTGTCATCACATTGTCGGCCCAAGTGACCCCTATCCCCAAAGGGAGGTTATTAATATATCAAGGAAATGAGATGATTGCGTGCCTTCCTCCCTTTATACAGGCTCATGTAAACGCACGCTCTGTATAAACACACGCTAAAAAGCCTTCCCAAGCATCGTGCGTTTAGGTGGAGACTACTGTATACACACATAATAAAAGAAAAAGACAAATTGAAATGATCAAGAGCTGACAATGTCACCTAAATCTTTCGCACTCACAAGATTTTATCTTGAAATTTTACATCCTTTCAAGACAGCTTCAACAAACCACTTAAGGGGGCTCGCAGGTCAGGTCTAGGGCCCTGGGGACTGATTTTCACTCACTCTGAGCACTTTGTACTTTTGGTATTTTCCAATCTCTCATTCAATCTAGATTTTATTGACACTAGTCGCTGAATGAGTAACATTAACAGAATTCAGTATCGAGCCCCCTTAATGCAATATGTATGTGCAAGCCATACACAATGTGACAAGTCATGCAGTCCTACTCATAATCAAAGAGGGAAAAATTGCTATCAAACAGTTAAAGTAGTGATGAATAAAAACATGAGAACAATCCAGAAAACAAACTATATAAATCACACCACAAGGACATTACCTGTACATGACACTGATAGACAGCTCTAAGACTTGAAATTTAACCTTTTCTTTCTGTACAATCATAATGGTAGTCAAAAAGGATGTAGAAATAAAAAATATCTTAACCAGACCATGGCTAGCTTCACCCTCTTGCTCACCAAGTGCATTCCTGAGCGTACAGCTGTGTTTATCTATCAGTCAACACAAAGAAGCAGCACACAGGTCTGTCTTGGCTAGGGGGGAGGGCTTGAAGGATCAAATTCTGTCTAAAAAGATGTAATACTAACAGTATGTCAAGGACCTGATTTTGAACAGCAAAAATCCAATTGACAAGGATATTATGGATCCTTTGAGATATAGAATACTTAGAGATATAGCTGCTTTTAACGATGCGGCAGGGAAATCCTGAAATAAAAATCAATCCTTCAATAAACCCCTCAAATTGGACAAGTATTATGAACTGCTGCCTGAAGCTCACAAGTACAAGACACCACTTACATGAGAGCTACTTTCTGAGAGGACTAAAACAAGAAAAAAGAACAGCCAAGATAAAGAGATCCACAAACAAAGTTACACAGATATCCATGAATAAAGACAGCATAAATAATACATACTAAAAGACAAGGTCCCACAAACATGTAAAAAGAACATTTGCATTTTACACTTAATAACGATATCCAATACAAAATGCACTTCACTTTTCCCTTTCTGATAAAAAGTATTCAGCTTGGAGCACACAAAATAAAATAAAAATGTCACCAAAAAATCAGGCACAACAAGAACAGCTTAAAAGGGTTCCACTGTAGGTAATCAATTCAAACATTTTCTTCATCATTGTTTCCCTAAGCCATACGTTTAAGAAGCCTGACAACAAAATCTACACTCCCACACAAGGGATGTCACCAGGAACAAGACTAAAAATCACAATGTGAAACAAAATGAATACTCCTTAAAAAAGAAAAAAAGAAAAAAGGTAACAAACAACAAAATTGAACAAAGCAGCAGAAATTCAGACTGGCAACAAGTGTGGAGTGGGATCTCAATGTCAAAGCTTTCCCACAACTTCCTTGCAGTCAATTATACTGGCAATTAATAATAACAATGGGATCAAATCATTCCACTTTTCTAGCTGGCCATTAAGGAAACTCACATGTAAGCAATCACAACAGACAGTCACAGTCACATCATCAATTGAGTCATCCACTCTAAGGTTGAGACAAAAGGGACATTCTTAGACATTTACCATTCAAATTATTCCTCACAGCCCCATTCATCCACAGCCATTCCTTTGTTGTACATGAAGCAATACAGATTTAGATCTGCTGCAAAAATGTAAAAGTTTAAGTCTACAACACTGTGAACAAAGAAGTGCACTAGGTAGTGAGAACGTACTAAACACATATCCATATAATCTTGAGTTCTCTGCAGTGCCAGTCCAAGACAAACATTTAACCCAGGTTACATTCCGAAGATATCATGTGCCATTATGAGAGTCACATCTTTGATGAACATTCTTTATATTTTTGTACCCAATGAAGAAACCTGAGGAAAACTGTCCAACCTGCAGCACATTTTTATTTCCTATCAGAAGGTATCCTGATTTGAAAACTGAGGGCAGCCGAAATTAGAAACAGTACATTCATGCTTTATTTATTGTAACAATACACCACATGCTATAAACTCATTTCTAATTAGCGCAGTGATTGAATAACTTGTAACCTTATTACACACAATATCTTAGAATTTTTGTTGATCTCCTTAAAAAAAAAGAAAGAAAGAAAGGAAGTGAGGGGAAAAGAAGAGGACCAGGATAACTGAACTCAAGATTTAGAATTTAGAGGGAAAGAAAAGGAGAGCTTCACAGTAAAGGCACTATATAAAGTACATGTGACAGAGTGATGATCCTAAAGGGGGTTATCCAACGGAACTTAGAAAAAAGGACATGCGTAAAAGCAAAGCGTACTATCTTTTGAAAGATTTGTAAACAGCAGAATGTTTGCTCTGTCATTCACATTCCAAGAAATCATTCTGAGCTCAAACCACAAACTGTCTTCACTTTGTCAGACCATCAGTCATCACTGTCTCAGGCAACTTTTTCTCACATGTGTCTCTTTCACTTGATTTAAACAACTCGAATCACGATTTTAGCACAAGCTTCTTTCTCTAAACATCAGCGTATTCAAACATGGTCAAATTTACTGACTAAAATGCTGTACAATATGTAAAACTTTCCACCAGTCTACAGTAGGAGCATTCTAGAAGAACTTGTACCTGCTGCCTTAGCTCTACTGGATCTCTCACTATTATTTCAATTCAATTCCGAGTTCTTTTCTATTTACCCAATACAAGAATACGGTGTGTGTGCACAACTTCACTAAGTATGTTTGTCCTTCAACACGAAATGAACAATACAACACATTAAAAATCCAGACCTGTACACATGGACTCCCGAGCTGACAACAACAGTGGTGGGTACCATCAGCAAGATCTTGCCTCTGCATTCAACGCACTGTTGCCCCCCCCCCCCCCCCCCCAACGTGGACCTGGCAGCATCCCGAGCACACACAGCAGTGTATCTCTGCATGCTGCTATCAGTACCAGGAGATGCTACAGCTCCCTCCCCTGTGTGTCCCTCTATTATGCCCAAGTTATACACAGTGCTCTATTTTTGCCTTTATAGCTATTAGCAAGTTCTCGCTGATCTCAATGCCTGCTGGGTGCAGTTTCAGAAAAGCGACAACCAAGTCTTGCCTGCTGTTAGTTTACTGTCGCAGGCCTCTTACAGCACAAATCACAGACCTGCACTGTGATGGCTATCAAGATTGAGACCTGCTGTATGGGTATGTCAGATTAGGCAAAATAAACTTGCACAGAGAAAACTCCTAGGGAAGAGACAAGACCATCACACAGAGAGGTCAACATAACTCATCCCCTGCACATAAAATAGTGTGCTAAAACACAAACCGCCATAGCTTGCCAAAGTAACTTCACTCCAGTTCAGCTTCTGTCTCCTCCATTTTTGGTCGCTTGAGGGCTGCTGCAGCATCCAGTTCTTGTTGAGTCATAGCCTCTTCACCTGGGCGCTTGACACCTGTGCTCAGTACTGGTACCTGGAATTTAAAAAAAAATTAAGTGACCCTGACTAGAAAATAATTTACATACTCATAAAGCAGATCACACGGTACTGAGATAGGTGAACTATAATTCAACAATATGAGAACTTGTACAATTAAGCTATACCTACTCCTGCCTTTGCTCGAATAAATATTTCCCACTCAGATGTGAAACTACGAGTCTCTAAACTCTATGACTAGATATTACCGGGTAATCATGACTGGCTCCAGCAACCTACTGTTGATGCATGATTAACTCACAGCAGTACCTTTCATGAGACTAGAAGGGTAGCCATACTTCATCACACAGAAAAAATATTTATTAAACTAAAAAGTTCAGAAGTGTCAATTACAAAGGAGAACCTTCTCCTTTACACCATCAGCTCTAATAGAATCAAACCCCCTCTGAACCCCCCCTCCCCCCAAAAAAAAACAACAACAAAAAAACCAAAACAAAAACAAAACAACAACAACAAACAAACAAAACTAGTGGCCACAATGTGACGCCATAAAATAATTTGTTCAGACAAAGAAAACATCAAAGCTTTATTTTGTTTGTTTTGTTTTAGTAGAGGTTTTACGGCGCTCGCAACTGCATAAGGTCATATGAGCACCAAGGGGTTGATGTCAACAGAGAAGTCCTTACAGGGAATCAGACTTACTCTGCTCACCTCTCTAGCTTCAACAGCACAAAGTCTGCTTCGACTATCAAGGCACCCCGGAAATAGAGGGTCACAAGAGTGTGACAAACATTCAAAAGAAGTGGAGGAAAATGACGATAGTAAGGATTAGGAAAGAAAAACCAGCATTTCCCTGTTGTAGTTCAGGCGCAGTTATGAGCATGACATTGTTTGATCAGCCCATTTACAATTCTACTGTGCATTAGAACAAGAAATGTTCCCCCCTTTGGGAATGGCATAATGACACTTCAGTCAGTGGCACCGCCCCAGGGGGTACAGGTTTATTTTAAAAGCTAAAATGCTGACAAAGAGTACACATACACTAACAAAGTAGTATTTCAAAACAGTGAAGTAAGTAAAAGGGTGACAATTCACATTTACTAGAAATGCTAGAAAGACGGCTTTTCACTAATCATTTTTCAAAACAAAAAATAAACTAAAGTGGCAGCAGTGGTGGTAAGGGCGGAGAAAAACAAAGGAGAAGAAGGACTCTGCTGGTTGGAACTGGAAATATCATGAAACAAAGCAACAGCCACGGAAAAGAGATATATATAAATAAATGGTTTCTCGCCTCAAAACCAATCCCATAAAGCCTGCCAAGAAATACGCTTTGCAGATTTTAAAATTTAATCACTGCTAAAATTTTGACTCAGATCAGTACACTGACTGTCAGGGACTTTTTTTTACACACATCTAAAAAAAATCAACTACTCTGTTACTATTAAATGTCAGACAACTCAAAATATGCCAAATACAGCTGGAGTCTTTGCTATTTACAGAACAAAGGATTTGACTCACGATCGGACTTTACAGATATTTGAAAAAAAAAAAAAAATTATGGTGCCAAAACCACCCAAGCACATTATTTCTACAGTGTGAGTATGCTGCTATTTCTGTCATAAAATACTATGCAAATATACAAAAACATATTTTACAAGACAAAGAAATTTGAATTAGTCAGTTTTGCTGGTAACAAACAAGAGTACTGAACTCAATGCCCTAACAAGAGCTATCGTGGCACTGAACTCTACAGCCACCAGAGTAGTCTTGCAATGGATTCCTGGGCATGTCGACATATTTGGAAACGAATAGGCCGACGAACTGGTGGGAAAAGGAGGACAAATGGAACAAACCCATCCCAGCCCCAACTACCAGGTGGCTAAAGCACTCATCATGTCAGCACTCCATGCCCAATGGAATGAGACGCACCCACAACACAGAAGAAAGTACCCAATCTGCCAGCTCCCAAGAGCTGACCAAGTGATATTCTTCAGACTCAGAACAGGACACAACAGGCTGAAGCATTACATGTTCTCCCAATTCAAGATCGGTGATGGATTCAAATGTCCTTGTGGTGCTAGCCACTAAGATGCACAGCATATTCTCCAGGACTTCCCACAACTGGATACAGCAAGACAAAAATGCTGGCCTCAACCCAGGGACATGCACTAGAAGCTTCATGGCAGCCCTCTCGACCTGGGAATCACTGCGGAGTTCGTCATCACTTCAGCCCTCACCATCTACTCTACCATGAAGAACGAAGAGGAAGAAAAAGAAGAAGCTAGTAACAGAGCTGGAGTTGCCTCTGGTGTTGTCATATTGTGCAGATGCACTGGCCACGGGCAAGTCTCTTATTCTTAGTTTCTATTCTTTTGTTACTTGACATTGTATCTGAAGTATATCCAGAAAAAAATGTATCTGTAAAACATTTTTTTGAGTCTATATCTATCTCCTATGGGGTTAAGTACTGGGTGGGAGTTCGAATTCACCGTCGGTAAAGCTACCACTTAATTGAATCATTGTCACTAAACCTACAACTGCAGTCAACAGTTAATCTACCTGTCTTCTTATCTCAACCTTTGAATCGGTGTCTTTTTTAAAATCACTTTCCACTTCATTATCTGCATTAGAATGTATTGAATCATATTGTTTCTTACTCTAAAATTGGTTGGAGTGATCAAAGCGATGTTACTCTAGGAATTTTCTCCTTTATCTAAAAAGATAATACAATGGTTTCTTACCACTGGCTTGGAGTCCTGAGTAGCCCATGCGTCCCCTCCCATTGGCTGCTGCTGTTCTGAGGTAGCTGTTTTGTGCTGCTGCTGCTGAAGCAAAACTTGCTGAGGGAACACCTGCTGCTGGAGCAGCTGCACAGACTGTCCGGCAGATGATGGGGCCAGAGCCTGCTGAATAGCACTGGTCTGGCTCGTTGCCCCAGAGCCCTGTGGTGGCAGCAGCTGCACAGACTGGGGCAAGAGAGTAATGGGCTGCGGGGAGGAGCCTGAGTCAGTCGCCGCAGTGACCACCACCTGCTGGCCCGCGTGCAGGGTGCGTACCAGGGTCACCGGGTTGATGGTCCGCGTCTGAAACTGAGCCTGATTTGCTGTGGCCACCAAAGATGCCATTTTCTGAGATGCTCCAAGGCTGACAGCTAAAAAGACAAACAGAGGAAAAAGAATAAAATACACATGACGTCCCGTCGGACAGAAAAACACCAACAGCAGCCTGCACACAGTGAAGACTTTAAACAAAGCAATGTTTAGTATTCAAAACCCCTCTAAACACTTTTCCACAACCTGTCACGGGTACCAGAAACTAAATCTTTTAAAGTAGCTGTATGACAAATTTATGTTCCACAAGAAAGGTCTGTCTCAAAAAAAATTTTTATAACATTATTTTACCTCTCAGTCAATCTTTAAGAAAATGGCAGCAGTTCTTATAATCAAAATTTGTAAAATTCACTATTTGGCTGCAGCCCCATGTTTGACAGATAAGAAAACGATCAAGTGCACCAAACATCACCACATTAAAAGAGGACAATCACAATAAGATGGATATGGAGCCTAATTTTTTTCTCGAGAATGTGATATCATGGCAAAATGTGTAGTTGTTATTTTGACAAAAACTCAGGAGCCCTGTCCCAGCCAGCATAATTTCTACACCCGCACTGAGCAGTTAGGCCATATACTTTAGTGTACGGAATGCTCTGCTTATTGAGGTCATATACATTTAGAGTTAGCAGAAGGATAAACGAAAAATAATCCCAAGCCGAAGACTGGTCCAGAAAATTAACCGACCTTTCAGTAGGCAAGTATTTGGCATTATATTTCATGTAAAATTGATTTCTAGAAAGCTTTGTCGCCATTTTTTTAGGCTTTCTATATTTTAACCCTGGAGGCTAAAATATATCACTGGATACACCATTCAAAGCTCAATAGTTCGCCAATGCATAGACAATACTGATTCATCAATCTTGAGCATTCAAATGATATGGTGTCAATTTTTTTAACCAGCTGACCTCGCCTTCAGACTGGGAGAGGTTTTGCATTCCATGCCGATTCTCTAGTTTTAAATACATAAATATACAATGACATACCCCATTGCAATATAAGGAAAAGCTGAACTTTTTTATGTTGTACAGTATTTGACATTTGATTGCAACAGGGTAAACAAGCAGCAACCTGAATGGCCTGATCTTTTCTAAACCACCTGCTCAGAAGGCCGCAAGTCAGCTTACACACAGAGTTTACACTACTTTCTCTTAATCATCCAAAGGAAAGAAAAATATTGGGTTCTTTTACCATTGCTCCGGATCATCCAAAAGAAATAAAAACATTGAGTATTTATCACCATTAACTCACTTCAGACGGTTCACACAACAGTTGCGTGACCCCTGCCGCGACGCTCACGACAGCTCCCACGAGCCCTGTGTGACCAACTTTGGATTTTTTTTCGCTCTACAAATCACGCACGGATCACGGGACCCGCCTCGTACCCTTGTTTGGTCAAGCCTGAACTACTTAAACTTCGTTTCGTATCTCTGGGACCCGTACTTTTTAAGTTATTGAAGGTGAAAGACAGTGACCCCAACTGGGGTTGAACTGACCGGAACTCGCGATTTGTTTTTTTTCTATACAGCTGATAGTAATCCGACAGTCGCGTCGTAGTAACGGTCGAAGAAGTCGCATGAACAAGAATCACATAATTTCGCCGTTTTCGATACTTCTGTACGTTTTACTAGTTCTAGTGTCTCAGAATATGATGTGTCTGATAGTTAGGATCCTGGATATGTACCCGAACACAGCCTGAGTCGTAGTTTTAGGGCTAGATCTAGCACTAGTACTGGTGTTGTTGTTCGCGCAGCAAAATCACAACGTCGTGCCGTACATCTGTCTCATGTAATTCAGCGCATGGGTCTGAATCAACGCACAGACCAGCTTTTATACTTGCATCAAACATTCACACATGCATACAAATCAAGATACAACACTTTGAACTTTTATTTTTGTTGTTGTGAATTTCATCCTACCTGTCATGTCTGTGGAAATTTTTTGGAAAATCAAATTCATGCCAATTTTTAAAAAATCATATAAATTAAAGTATTAGACTTAGACAACTTTAGTTTTTTGTGTTAGATTAAGCTTGAATGTTACTTTACTGTGTCAAAAAATAATTACAATAGGGTAATTCTGAGAGTTGTGGTGATTTTTTGAAATACTCCGAAAAACGCCAGTCTTCAACGCTTGTGACTGGTGAAAGGGCCCAGTCTGAAGTGAGTTAAAAATGCACCTCAATCACAGTAAACAATAAAATGAAAGATCAAGAAAACAAGACAATATGGAGGTTGGAAAGTTTTCAACGGTTCAAAACAAGAGTGTAGAAAATTCTAGCTCACCTTCCCCAGACTCCCTTTTGATCTCCAGGTGGGTCCCATTAGTCAGCGGAGTGCCAGATGGTCCATTGAGGAGCACCTGACCTGGAGTGGTCATAAAAATCTTGGGCTTGGCAATCACGGAGGGCAGCTGATGAATAGCAGTCTGACCTGCACTGGCCGACACTGTCACTGGTGACAGCACACGAGAACCTGAAACAAAAATAAAGAGGGAGGGTTTTATTGGATTAAGTCTAGTATGCACAAACACTTTGAATGACTAGTGAGCAAAAATATAGTGTACTAGCCGGACCCCCATTCTATGAAATGAATGATCGCTGCATTAACACCAACTGAAAGTCCTTGGCCTACTATATTTACACTCTACTTGAATGAAGCAATAAATCTTGAGAGATGCAAAAAATTAGAAGGTCTAGATAGAGAGATGTATAGATTGATTCTCTATTCCGCTTTAGTGGTTGTACACTCCAGAATTTCAAAGGTGTGCACGTTCAGTGAATGCAAATTTCACTGGTATACAATGGAGTCTTAGAAGACAGACATTCCCAAGATTAGATCTAAACGAAACTAATGAAAAACTGAAAATTAAACTAGAGACTTCAGGCCCCTCAATAAAACTGTGCAACCTTTAAATGATTCTGAACCACCGTTAATTTTGTCAAATTCGAAAGTGAAGTGGTTGGGAACTTTTAGGTGGCCAAAGTTACGAACACTTTCACAAATATAATATGTATAGATATACAAAAATCAGAATAAACACCACATACTTGTTAGTCTTAGGCCTATAGGTTTCTGAAATGACTAAGATTTTCAATAATGTTGTACCAGGAATTTTTTCTCTCTTCAATTTCAATTTTCACTCAATGTTTGACTAATTTGGAAAAAAAAGCAACATATAGTTTATGCATTTTTGATAGCCACCATGGAACAGATCTTCGTAATCTACTTTCAAGTTTGATTTGGAGAGAAAAGGCACTAAAATATATAGAAAAACCATTAAGATTCAAACAGCTATAACTTTAAAAAGCAGAAACCAGAAGATCTTGCAAAATTGAATGTCAAGCTCAAGAAAATTAGTGGAATGAGATGTCCTTCATCATTAGTTATGCACATACCAGACAATTTAAGCAGAATTGAGTAATTAAAATGCACGATGCTTAACTGTATATAGAAAATAAACATGTAGAATTTAAAGATAGAGCATGTGCTCGAACATAAGCACAACACTAATGAAAAAGTTAGTACATTTCATAATTCAGAATCTAGCCAGCCCACTGACCTGAAGGTGAGCCGGGTGCCGACTGTGAGAAGCGCAGATCTGTGACCGTTGGGTGTGCCTGCTGAGACTGCTGTACAATGTGCACAGCAGCCTGAGACACTTCCGTCTCCAGAACTGGCTCTGGGATGGGGCTCCCCTCTCGGGACAGGCTGTCAGGGGTGATAGACCCTGCCATGTGACTGGGGCTGGCCGGGGCAGACCTGCAGAAATGATAAAGTACATTTGTTCATGCAGTGTGTGCAAAATTATGATTACTGTAATTACACCAGTAAAAAGAAAATGCTGGCTTGAGAAGGCAATGTGCAGTGCACACTGATACGACCATCACCTTTCTCTCAAACAACTGAAGATTTCTGCTCAGTCTACAAATACTAAGATGCAATGCGAGTGTTTGAATCATTTTAAACCAAAACCTCATTCTGTCCCTTACCAGCACATAAGAACATAAGAAGAAATGACACAACATTATTACCCCCTCCCCCCCCCATCTCTCATTGAGCCTTACTCCATACAATGTAACAGCAACACAATGATCACTGTGCAAATTAAATTTTAATAAAAACTGTTACACATTGTTCGAAAAAGTAAGCAATTATTTCTCACCGAGAAGACAATCCTCCAAAAGGAGTTCGAAAACAAGGCACCCCTCTTTGACGCCGTTTTCTGAAGGCCTGAGCAGTGAGTTTCGCCTCGGAGACAGGATCAATTCGCCAGAACGAACCCTTACCTGGCTCCTCTTGAGACCGAGGAACCTTGATGAAGTATCGATTCAGTGACAAATTATGTCTGATTGAATTCTGGAGAAGACATTAAAAAAAAAGGATAAATGATTCAAATCTCATAGAATCTGAAGGAAAAAAAAAGAAGAATAAAACAAAACAACAGAAATTTAGACAATGAAAAAGCACAAAAACAAAGCAAAGAGACAAATAAGCACAGTATTGGTGACTATTTCTATTCCATATCTAGCTCAAAGCTTACAACAGATATATTGCTATTGTTAAGATTTTAAAACGCTCACAACACACACAATAGCGCCAGTGACGTGGGAAGCAACAGAGCCAGAACATTAAAAATTTAATACAAGCACCCAAGACTGCAGACTTCCACCTCACCTGCCACCCTTTGTCAGCAGTCCTATAGTACGGGTAGTTCTTTGTGATGTAGGCGTAGATACCACTGAGGGTTAGTTGTCTGTCGGGAGCTGATGTGATCGCTTGCACAATCAGCTGGGCATACGAGTAAGGAGGCTTCGACTCATCTCTTGAGTTGTCTCCCGAGCTAGGGGTGACCACTGAGGATACAGAATTATTGTCCTTCTCCTCGCGAGGATGAGCTGCTGCATATGCAGCAACCGCCTGCAGGTCGGGGATAAGGGTGAACCTGGAATTATGAGTGGAGCCACTGCGAGGACTTGTCGGGCAGGAGTTGGCAGCACTGAGGAAAAATAAACAGTCGTACAACATAAAAAATCATATTAAAATTAAAGATTATTTCAAAATGTTGCATCAGTGGCCAAGTGTGACTCGTGCAGGTGGCAGGAAAATGTCTTGCTCAACTGCATGGTAAACTGTGCAAACAAGTCTCACATTGCATTACATACGTTACAATAAAAAAAAGACCACTTTGGGCTGTTGGAGTAGCGGGGAAAGGGATGCGGAGAGATAAAAAGAAAGAGAGCAGGAAAAATAATAGCCCTTCAAAGTCAACAAAGGGAAAACTTTTTAAACAATTTGTTACAAAACTTCTAGGGCTCATTCAAATAATACTATATTTTGATAACCTTGGATAGAACTTTAAAAAGTATTTCATGTTGTGTTTTCTCCATTTACGAAGTATTGGTCTAAAAAAACAAAAACAAAACAAAAACCAGAAAAGAAACTTCTGGACAACTCATTAAGGAGTCTAGCGGGTAGTTTTTTTGGTCAATTTTTGATGAAATTATTGTTTTTCTGGAAATCAGCTTTTTAACACATTGTATGATCATTGCTGAATCAGATTTTCTGGTCCATTTGGTAACAAAAATTGATAAAATAGGTGAAAATATTTCTCAAGCAACCTCACCCCCCTCTTGCAAAAACGACTGCTTTGTCATTTTTCCTCTTTTTTTGATACATTATGTGTCTACTTTGTCACTTTTCCTCTTTTTTTGTTACATTATGTGTCTACTTGGTTCACTAAACTTCTATAAATGAGATTATTTGTAACTGTACAGAAAAAAAAGTAGTGCATATAGTACTGGAACCTCTAGAAGGAACAAACCTCAAATTACACAGTGACATTTTAAATCCGTATTTCTCAAAACTTTATTTTTGAAAGACCCTTCATCACTAAAATCTTAAAATCTGAGCTACTAATCAAGACAATGTACTGAAACTTTCCAAGTATATGCAGATTTGGTAGTTACAGGGACCTGGCTAGTTATATTTGAGAAAATGTACTTAATATTTCAGAAATCTGTATTTAAAATTGATTTTGTGTTTGAAATTGGTACAAAAAAAGGGACATTACTTTGAACCCCCCCCCCCCCAAATTTTAGAATATTGGAATTATATTTTTAAAAAAAACCCAGCCTTGATATTTATGAAAAAATTAACATTATACCTTTTGGTTTTCAAAACTTACAGATTTTCCTAAGTATTGTATCATTTCAATATGGCCGTCGGCATTACATAACACTTTGGGTTAAATTGTTTTTAAACATTTTGATTTATTTCTGGGAAGGTACCACATATTTGGGGAAAATTTGGTTTCAAAAGATGCATAAATAACGAAAATAGCTTTTCTTGGTAGCTAGACCTCTTAAAACACTAAAAATAAAATTTCAAAGAGACCAGAAAGAAAACAAGTTATAAGAACTGTTTACTACAGGTACTGCTGATTACCTGCTAAAACATGTTCCAAAACAAACACACAATCTAAAAAATACCTGATTGTGCCTGTAGGGGAGGGGCAAGGACTGTTTGCCATAGCTTCTTGAGGCTCTGGGATGTTGATCTTCAGTGGGGGTAGAGGCGGCTTCTTTTTTGGAGTTGCTACTGACACTGGTGGGGGCGGAGCTACAGTTTCATCAATCAGTGATTGAAATTGGATCTTGATGTTGGTACTTGGGAATCTCAGAATACATCTGTGGAAAACGAAAGAACAAAATTCTTTATCACTGTTGACACCTCTTGGCAGGCTGATCTACAAACGTACAAGTTTTCCAAGAAAGAGCACTACTTACATTCATTGTATGGGCAATAAAACCTCAGTACAGCACACTAAGCTTAAAGTGTAGTCTCAGCGGTCACATTCACTTGCACCGCTTTATCTAAAACTAAAACAAAACATACTTTTCACGATATCGTTCACTTTTCATGGGACTTTAACCATCAAAAGTCTGTTTAAAGAGTAACTCAGAGAATAAAGAAAAATGACAAAAAGCGATAGTTTTTCCATACTCAGGGATGCAACATAAACAGCTGTAGTGAAAGAACGACTTTTTCGTACAGTAGTTCATTGCCAGTGGACACTTGTATCCCTCTCATTTTGAGTGCATCAGGTGAAAGCACATTCAGACCACATTCAAAGAAAAAAAATAAGTTTAATTTTCTGATTCTTTAAGATAACTTATATTCAACGATCACAGCTTTTGCCACAGGCGTCAAGATTATCTGACAAATTTGGATTGTTTACTGACTGTTTATCAGGGTAAAAAAGTTGTTTTGAAAGAAAACTTTTCCTTCTTTCTTATGCATAATTCTTTTGTCCTGCTAACTACATTTGTCAGAAAAAGTAAATTAATGTGTTCCTTAAAGTTGTATATGTTTAACAACAGTTTGAACTCTACTTTGACACCACACATGATAAGAAAGGTCTCTATGACAAATAACGGTGAAGACTCATTTGTTTAAAAATACCCTCCTACAGCACAGCATACCCAGGTGATAGCACACAGAAAGTAATAATGTAATTCAAGTCTTTCAGAATCAAAGCTCCAAAATATGAAAAGATTGAGGTATTAATTCAAACCTCAACATTTCTGTTGTCATCTTACATTAAAAAAGCCTTTAGTGTGGAGCACACACCTAGTTTCCACTGGGTTAAACTAACATGTTGCTAAGAAGACAAGAACAAAGATGTCAGATGAATATGGAACATCTTGGGCGGAAATCTAATTGAGGTCCCGATTTGGTACTTACTTGATCTACTATATAAAGTTTCAGGGTCTCCGCTCTCTGTAAGGCTAAAATGGGGGTAGCCCTTACATCACGCACAAAAGATAATACAAATCATTTTAAGAAGGGAGACCTCAACCAACTAGACTGTTACCAAAATAATTTGCAGCATGTAATCTTTTCATCCAATTTTGAAATAAGTCTATAATAAAAGAAGGCCTACTTACTAAAAAATAAAAAATGGTATTATTTGACTTTACTACTGTCCTCATGCTCAGTCACTGTGCACTATTCTAGTCAGATTTATCTTGTTTTCCACAATCTAGATTTCGAAATATTTGATGGTTTTTGTTTGAACTATATTACATCAAGCCTATCAACTGATTCTGTCCATTCAGCCGCTGACAGCAGCTCTGGGTTTTCCCCGCTGTCGCCATCCGACCCCTATGAGCGGCTCGACGAAATCCGAAACAAATGTGCACTTTTTAACTCAATTCTTTCTTTTTAAGTTGTCGAAAGGAAGTAGAACTTGTAAATAAGCCTGACCTCAATCTCTGAGCGCCAAAATCGATTGAAACGGTAAAGTTCTTGCAAAAATCATGGCTTTGTAGTCACTATGCAGTTGCTGCATCAGGATAAAAACATGGAGTCTGGTAAAATAAAAAGGCCCTTCGGTGGAAAATATTCAACTACATTTGTGAAATTCTTGCACAAATTTGTGCTAGGGTAATATCTCAACAATTGTGTGTTTATTTCAATGATTATAAGGACTTGTAGAGCTGAGAAAATAAGGTAAAATGAAATTTTCGAAGACGAGTAGTGCAATTTTTTTTCTCATTCATTTTTTGTCTGAGGGAAAATACGATACAATCAGAATATAGGTCATTCTAATTGGTATAATCAGATTCTTCTATTGATTCCCATCAGTTTGGTATGTGGCAATACATATGTAGAGTAACTTAGAGCCTCATAGTAATGCATTAACTCACTCACTGCCAGGCATTTCTCGGCAGGGTAACTGACGAATGCCAGGTTTTCGGGATCATTTGACCATTTTCAAAACCTCACTGTGAGCTTATTATTATGAGCACAGCATTGAACTTTTCCACAAACATTGACATTGAAACATACTCAACAAATCAAAAACATTTTTTTTGTGATACCTTTATTGTGTTAAATTTTATGAGTGTTTGTGAATATGTGGCAAAATTGAGAAAAAACCCTTTTACATAACATTTAGGTGCTTGATACATTCAGTCGATAAGCATGCCTTTATATCTTTGTCTCTGCAAGAAATAGATGTATCAACTGACAAATGTTGAAAAGTCACTATGAAAAGATATCTGACAAATTTTATATAACTGGAAAGTCATTCAAGTCATCAGCCCACCCATCCTGAGCATCAACATCAGGGTGTGTGGTAGCAGGACGGGGCATGGCCACTGGGGGAGGGGTCCCACTATTTGAAGTTTGTTGTGAAGACCTAGGAGGGTCTATGTCAGCTGTATTCCTATCATTTGGGTTCAAAATCTACATTGTGTGATCTTTGACGTTTGCGTGACGGTCTGAACTGGGACCAGGAAGCGCCGGATCATAGGGGAACACTTGATTCCAGACCTAGGCCTAGTTCTAGCACAATTTTCATCTTCACTTGTGTCCGCACCTTTTCTATTTTCTTTCCTATACTCATTATCAAAACTATGATGGTTCATTATCACTATTATCTGCAAAAAGATTTAAATCTGACCCTTTATTTATGAATGGGTCCATCAATTCAAATGTTTCAACCTCGTTGAGACGCCGTCGCCATCGTAACTGAGTGTCAGTAGTTTTTAGTTTGTTTCAGGTGAGTTCGAAAAAGTCCAATTTTTAAGAAACTCATTACCAGGGAAGTTACTGCAACAATGCGGAATCGAAACTAAACTGGCTTATAATGTCGCATACTTCCGACTGCCAAGCCCGAAACACGTCGGGGAATGTTTGAAAAATAGTAGTGAAAACGCACCTGACGGGTTTCGGGTTTGGCAGGTAGCGGTCTACGCGGATCACCTGACAGGGTTCAGGCATGGCAGTGCATGAGTTAAATAGACGTATCCCAGGTTAAAAATTAAACAGGGGAAAATAACTCTGTCCAGAGCATGAAAAAATCATGAAAGTAATCAGTTAACATACTGATGTTTTGCGTTAAAAAATCTAGAGGGTAGCCCCCTTTAACCCTCATCCTGCGGGAGCCGGGTTTATGTCGCCCGATAAGCCTATTTCGGTACCTCGCCTACGTTCTGGTCCTGCATCAGTGTAGCCCCTGGCTCAGCGCACGCGCAGCACACATCCTCTTACGTGTCATTCGGGTCCCGAGTTGGATCCCCATTCACGCAGGTCAAGTGTGTGCGCGTCAGTCTGCTTGAGTTTGTGTGCGTTTGTGGCCTTCCTCTAGAACCGCCTGCGTTGTTCGTAATTGAGGCATACGTCTCATTCAAAACATGTCAAGTTGGTAGCTCTAAATGTTCGTCCAATGAAATTATAGAAGAAATTGACCCACTTAGACATGAGGAGCTCGAAAGGATAGTCAGGAAACAAGACTTCCATTTTTCTATACAAAATACTTCAAATGAGCTTGATTTTGTATGAAATGATACTACCTGATAAAAAATAAGCTTGTTTGATAGTTTTGAATACCATTGTGCAGGTACAAAGAACACTTTGAGTGTAAAACATTTGGAAATTGACCTAAATTATCCCCTTTTGAACCTCAGTTCATTCATAAATAACAACAAGAGCGTCCAGAAAGGTTATTCGAATGGGCATAACTACTCATAATGTCTTATCAGCTTATGAGAGGGGGTTATTCATGTGTTTGTAACACTTTATAAATAGGAAGCTATGAAAGATAGAGCGTTATTTTCATCATCAGTTAACACACTCCCGCAGTATTCACGGCGAAAACACACGTTTCCCAGAGCGCGCGCTGTACACCAACAGTACACACTGAGTGACCCCGGCGGCCTGCCTGGCACGTCCGACGTATTCGGTTGCTGATAAGATACGCATCTGGGCACAGACGCAGGATAAGAGTTAACTAAAAAAAATCTGAGGGGAATAAGAGGGGCATGTTCCCTGTATTTCCATATAATTTGTTTTTGCTATTAAGATTTGAGATCACCTTGAAAACAATTGTTCGGCCACAGTTTTCATGTCCATATGTGTGTTTCACAGCAAAAAGCACTGTGGTCGGTTAGACACTCAGAAGCATTGCATTTGTGTGCATGATGAGTGGAAGTGAAAATCTACTAAAAATATTTAGAATTTAGAAGGTCAATTTTTTAAGTCCACAAAATATTTTGCTCAACAACCACTCTTGGCTTACAACAGTTTTGGAAATAGCCATGTAAAGCAAAGTAATTGAGACCATCCTAACAGCCTAAAATGGGGGGGGGGGGGGGATAAAGCGAGAGAGACACTGAGACTGAGAGTAGGTTCCATAAACCCCCGCCTCTGCGCAGTTGAAAGTGTGTAGGAAGCTCGAAATTTGGTCATTTTTAATCAATCATACTTCTCATTTGACCCCAATCTTCAACCCATTTCGAACTAAGTCAGTTCAACTATTATTTTTAGCAAAAATCAAATTATTGAGGGCGGCACGGAACGAGATATTGTCTAGTAAGCTATCTAAAAAGGTTACCAAAATGCACCGGAATGCTTTTTCGCGTCCATTTTCAGTTTCATGCCGGCCGCGGCGACAAAAATTTAGGGTGCTTCATAAAATGCCTTCGCGCTAAGCGGCTATAACTGCTATCGTCATGAAACAAAAAGTGCAAGAACGAGCTTTGAATAAGCTTTCACCCAGTACCAAGCGCTTGTTGCTAAAGTTAGTTGTTGACCCAGAAATATCGGGAGTTTTGGAACCTATTTTTAGAATGGAAATCTCCAAGTCTGACCAATGATTGGCCGAAAGAACCCTCGACTACTCAAAAGTAGAACATATGTCAAGGGAATCGTGTGCAAAAATGACAACGATTGGTCTGGCAGCCGTTTAGCGCCGTTTGTTTTTGTAAACACACATGTCGGTCCTCTCTCTGGCGACGCGCTTGATTTAGCAATGGCGAAGAATTATTTACGTGCACTACCTATTTTCGATTACGCTCTATTCACGTACATAAGTGCATATCAAGGGCTGCATTGTGCTTCCAATCATGGATAGGGATATTCAGGAGATGTGCGGTAAGTTGATTTTGTTAATTAGATTGTTAAAGTGATACATAGTTCTTCATAAAGTCATGAACCCTTTGCCTGACCTAGATCTAGCTAGGACTTGAAGCCGAGATCGCAACCATGCGAACGGGTAGTCTCATTCAGAGCGTCCTGTAATTAATTCAGTACCCAGTATTGTTGTAAATCTGGTTTGGATAGAAAGATAAGAAACTTAAATTTCTTGAAAATATGGTGAAATCTAAATCAATTTGTTAATAATCATTAAAAATTTGTGTTATTTTCTGGTCACGCGACCATTTCATTCTATCAATGATTTCGTAATGGTGACCTCTTTTTAAAGATCATAACAAGCTTGATGAGGTTATATGTTCTGTAAATTTCATTTCTTTTCAGCAATAACTTTCCATTTTATTGATGTCTGAAATCAGTCTTTTTAGCATTTTTGAATTAACATTATGCTTCAAGGAGTACTTTTTTTTTCCAATTTTAAGTCTCTGTATTGGCTTTATTTAAACTCTGATTGTCCTCATCTTGGTATTTTGCAGAGTTTATACTATACTGGCACCTGTTGAAATAAATGATAATGCACACTTTATGTACCTGAATAAATTTTCTGTGAACTCATAAAATCGCACTTTTTAACGTGATTTTAAAATTGCCAAAAATTTACGACGTCCACAAATTTCAAACGCCTGTCATTTTTTTAATTTATTGTCCGATTTCTATAATTCAAACACCAAAGTTCATGGCTTGCATAGTTCTTTATGATGCAACAAACATATGTTTGATCAAAGCGCTTTGAAATTTGGGTTTGTGGTACCTACTGAGAGGGAAAACTGGGTGCTTTTTCGGTAGTTCCCACCCCCTTATTTGAGTCTGACCTAAATCTAGATCTATACGTTTGATGCACGGCAAGCTAAGATATCAAACCTAACAACTGCAAAACATTCAATTGTGGTAAAATTCCTGAAACCCCCAACCATATTTTTATCAAGCCCCCCTGAAACCCCCCCACTCTTGGGGCCAAAACCGGCAAATAACAATTGCGGGGTGGGAACTACCGAAACCATTTGAAAAAAAATGGGGAAGATTGAAGAACACCGGACCACTCGTACATTATTGCGCGAGAAAGAAAGTGGGGTAGGTGGGGCGGGTGGTTGGGGTGGAGGGAGTTCAGGGGGGTCTCCCTGACAAAATTTTAATGAATAGATCTACCCGTCCGAGATTCTCCATTGAGAGATCAAAAACGAGAAAATTATGAATTCCTAAGGTTGAGACATAGGCAAAGTCAGTCCGCCGGTCCGGTATTCTTCAATCTTACCCAAAAATGTGGGAAAAAGGAATTTTTAAGCTCTAGATCTAGATCTAGATCTAGATTTCTTGAGGATAACACTCAAACTCAAACCACCAGGTTATTTGTAAATGAAGCCCACACATTCCCCAGAATTAACCTGTGACTCCGCTATGACCCCAGGTCCCAGCATCATAGCAAACATATCAATCCAAGCCCAGGCAGGGGCCCTCCTCAGCTCCAGGGTCAGGCCTCAGGGGCTTGTTTATTGAATTTGAATAGGGAATATCAAGTCTAATATTGTGTAGACCCAGCTTTCTTTAAAATTTCAGTTTACGATTTGTACAAAATAACCTCTATAAAGACTACACAAAACAACAAACAATGATTAGTTACAAAAGTGCATTGTTATGGTGACATACAGCAAATTTGTCAGATCAATGAGACTGTTTTCGTCCATGGTTGCCCGTTATTGTTGTTTACATTTCCGCCATCTTGAAAAGAGCACATGGTTACCCTAACGGAGAAATGACCAAAGAAACAGGACAATCATACACCGTATATCCCATTTATGATCCCATAATGTGAGTATTTTCAACGTTTAAAGTGACTTTTCTCATATGGAGAATACTTTAGACACGGAGAATGATGAGGAGGAGACGATGTTTGTAAACAAAGCAGACTACTTCCTCCGCAGAGAAACTGCGCTGCTTCCATTATCAGTTTTTCCCCCTTGTCTTCATTTCAAGCAAAAGCAAAACAAACTTACGTTCGAGGTAGTTGAAGGGGTGGAGCACCTTTACGCTGAAAAATTCCATCAATAAACACGCCATTTTTCCCGTTGCACTTCATGAAAAAATTAGGATGCTCGTTGAATATTTCAAGGTGCACCCTAGAGATAAAACTAGAATGGCCCATATTCACATCGACATCGCCTTTGCTACTGTTTCGGCCTATGGTGATGCGTGGCTGTCGCATCGTGAATTCGAAGTCTTTGCCCTCGAGACGTGCAATGGCAGCTCCCTTTGACTCTGGACTCCATACTGCTCCTGAAGGACTAGCAGGGGCCGATTTGAGAGCCAACAACGCGAGTGCGTGATTGTTCGTAGGTTGTTGTATTCCAGACATAGCCGACTGCTTGCACCGCTAAAATGGCAGCTCATGGAGAGGAAAACAACATACCCCGGACCTGTGTTTACATCCAGCGGCGGGTCCCACAATGCATTGCGGATTCTTCATACCGCGTGCTGAATATCTGTCTACCAGAGTGACCTATTTAATTCTCCCCGGATGACCCAGAAAACAGCTCCCGTGACCTAATGCGACCTCTCAAGACGTCACAAGTGTCAACATTATTATTATGTTGGTAACAAGAATTATCAAATGCAATTTCCATCTGATTCTGTTTTTGTCTTTGTCTGTTGAAACAGAAGGTGGATTTGTTTGCTAATGTTCATCTTTGATTCTCCAAAATCGAGACCGTGCACTTATAATTTTTCTATACGGGGTGCCCATTGTGGATGGGATCGGGTCGGGTCGGGTCGATCGCCCGATTCGTCGCTTGAAAATAAAGGTGTTTTATCGGCTTGTGTCGTGATAGCCGCTTTGCGCCCTCAATTTGGCTAACAAACCGCCCCACCCCGCCCAGATTCTCTTTAATGAGCACCTTTGTCCGTATAAGTTTAGCAAATAAACAGGTACAAACGATACTACTCATGGTAAGCAGTTGCTCTCTTAAAAATCTGTTGTGAGAATGTTTTAACGGTTTTACTTCTCACGATTTGTGCTGTTCAGGGCGAATTTGCTTCGTTTTAATTAAAGTTGTTGGATTCGCTTACATCCATATAGTATTGCTTATTTAAACACGTGTCATTTTTATTTGTGGGGCGTGTATTTTTTCAAGCACACTGGGCCCCTTGCGTGCATGTGAAACACAGCTCATAAAATCAATTCATTTTAAGCATTGGCGCAGTGTCGGGTGCATTGTAAAACGTGATAACATCTACAAGTAAACCATTGGATATTCCAGAAACTATACGTATTAAGTAGGCCTAGATGTAGATGAACCAACTTTATTTGCAGAGTCTCCAATTTTCTCTTCGCCAATACTTGTGGCAGGTTTTTTTTTCGAAAGCGGGGGGGGGGGGGGGGGGGGGGGGTTCTGCTTTTAAATTGTTGTTGTTTTATTGTGAAAATGGGTACCCAGCTATATAGACAGTGAAAGATGTCAGTTTGTTAGGGTTTGAGCGCTTAACCAGCTGCTTGCTCTGTATGCTTCACAGGAAGCTGAGAGTGTTTCCGAGTGTTCTATGGTCTGCTGGGGTAATAATATATTATTATTATTATTGTTATTGTTTTTTTTGTTTTTTTTCAGAAACATAAGTATGATACATGTATGCCTATCTACAACGGTTGTCAGTTGTCATCGTTGGTACCTGGGACGCCTCAAGGTTCAATTATTGCCCCTGTACTAATTAGCTTATGTATTGCCTTCGGGTATAATCGTTGACTAGTGCAGTAAAGTAAAGAGCGCTACCTCGGTCCCAGTTAGGATAATTCACAGAATTCTGTGGGATAATTTAAGGCCACGCTGCCGGCAACGCGATGCAGGCGAGGTGAATCGGCCTACCGTGAGGCGAAACCGAAAACATCAGCAGCCTAGGCCCTACGATCACACTGGTAGCGAGGTGACGAGCGATATGAGCGATGCGATTTCATATGGCAGTTTCCGTGTTAATTTCAGTTGCAAATGAAAGGAAAAGATTGTCAGCGTTGCTATTTATAGACGAGCAGGAAACTCAAAAAAAAAAAAAATATAAATCAACACCCGGTTTAATCAAGCGAAATTTGGTGAATTCCACCATTTGACGAGAATTCTACGTATTGCTGTATGTAATTATAGAAGCTTCAATAAACACAAACACACGCACACACATGCATAGACACACACACACCCACACTTACGCATTCACACACACACAAACATAACTCACAAACGCACACTCACAAACACATATGCGCTCACGCGCTTCAACTGGAAGTTTAAGAGAATAGCACGTATTTTAGAAAAAGAGAAATCTGGCTGAGAGAGAGAGAGAGAGAGAGAGAGAGAGAGAGAGAGAGAGAGAGAGAGAGAGAGAGAGGAGGCAGAAGAAGAAGAAGAGATAGATAGATTGAAGGTAGACAGACAGACAGACAGACAGATAGACAGACAGGCAGACAGACAGACAGATTGGTGTAAGCTGGGGAGAATGATGGATTGGTTAATCTAGATTTAGATAAATAACTGAGTAGGTTAATTCTTTAATATGTTGTTTTGAATAAAATAAAACTAATTGAATTCATAGTTTGCTTTGCTTTATATCTTTTCACGACCAGCTGTCAATACCATTTTCTTTCCTTGTTGTCACCTTTGAATATGAGTAAATCTCGTGTTTAGCGTCCGTCCAGCACTTCTTAAAATAAAGAAAATAATTTTGGTAAGGGTTTTCCGGCGCTCACAACTGCGTAAAGTCATATATATGAGCGCGTGGGACACATTAAACATTTTCAGTTTTCAAGGAGTTAATTCTAAATTTTACCAGGATGGCGGCCGCGGATCTTTATGTGCACTGTGCACACGGTAGGGGGCAAAAAGTTGAGACGAAAGCAGACGACAGAACATGCTTAGAGAGCGAAAAGAGGTACATGTATAAGGAAAACATTTTAGAGAAGAAAAGTTTCCGTCGTTGACAATATTATAATATATATATATATGTATATATATATATATATATATATATATATAGAGAGAGAGAGAGAGAGAGAGAGAGAGAGAGAGAGAGAGAGATAGATATAGATACCGTATTCGCTTTGTGAAAGCTATCGTGTTACTTCCAGCCCTGCTCTTGAGACGATATGTGTGGGGGTTCATGGGGGCGGGCGGTAAAGTTACCTATACATGTAATCTTAATTGTTTTGTTTTTTTCATAGGAGCTTTAGGCTAAAAATATGATGTTGAAATTAAAGATCTATAAATCAGAGCTTCTCATTTCAAGAAACCCAATGTATACACGCTTCTGATCAACAATATCTCTCATGAATTCTGAATCCGAATTATGTAGCAGACCCATATTATTCCATTCTAGGGGAACAAAAGAAAGAAACAAAGAAGCAAATAACAACCAAAAAAATAACCCCGACCAAAGCAAACAACAACAACAAACAAACATTACCCCCCCCCCCCCCCCCCCCCAACCCCTCGACCCCCCTCCAACTACATAACAACAATTTAACATGAAGTACAACTGTACAAAGAAACCACTATTGTTTTAGTGAAAACAAATAAAATACAAACATGAAGTATCCCCTCCCCTCCTCTTTTTTCCCTCGTCCCCGTCCCTCCACCCCCACGTCCCCTCCTCATTTTCTAATTCAATTCGAAATTGTCATCCTAAACGTCAGCATAAACAACACAAAAAGTGCTGTATTAAATTATGTCACATGCCAACAACAATTATGTTTTACCTGAATACCAAATAGGAAGTCGTTTTCAGTGATTTTACATTGTAGCCCTACACGATTAAAAAACAACAACAAACTCTGGCGCGTGTGGTACATGAAAGGGTTTAACCGCTTAGCTCTAAGAAGAACAGAGTGCTCTTTTCCTGAAGTCATGTACACAAGCAGTTATCGCCATGTTTGTTTCCCTTGGCAACCTCCTCTTTGGTAGACCGTGGAACTACTCCGTGGTGTGAGCTGTCGCATTTGTAACTCATAATAAAACCTCCAGAGTTCTCATCATGGCAGGGGAGGATGACAACATTGACACCAAAGATTTGGAGCTTGAGAGAATAATTGGTTTCAATGGTGAGCATTTTCTGAACTCGTTTCTCTGATATTTTTGCCCTCGGCCTTTGATTGATAGCCTCGGAGCTGACTGCCTGTAGCCTGTGGTGCATGGTTCACCCTGGTAGAATTTGAAATGTCACTCGTAGTATTAGTAGAACCAAGTAACCACTTGTGCTATTCAGGTTTGGAATCTTTGTTATCGACTTGATGAATTTTAAGGTTACAAAACTGATCAGTTAGAATCTTTCAAAATATAACATCTCTTTATTTCTTGAATTTAACATTCACAATTGGCAATAAATATGCTGCCATATTAATTACTAGATCTAGACTATATCTAGATATCTAGATCTAGATTTCTATTACTTAGTATGTCGTTTTCTTTACAACTAGCCTGTATTTGTTTTGTGAAAGAAGAGAACCCTACAAACTTCATGTGCCTTAAAAAATCTCTTTGTGTGTGTGTGTGTGTGTGTTCGTGTGTGTGTTTACCAAATGCAGGAAAGTAATGGCTATAACTCTTTGAACCCCATCGGACGCTGGAGCATCCGGCGGTAATAACCCTGTTCCTACGGACTCTGGGAGCGTCCAGTACTAGTGACAACTGTTTCATTTTATTTAGTGCTAGTTTTTGCTTGTTTTTCTGAACTATTCCAGAACCAAGTTTTTTTAGTAATGACTAATAAGCCTTTGTTTCCGCTATTTAGAAGTTGGAGGCAAGCTTTTGGGGTTATAATGAGACGTAGTATAGTGCACCAGGTTTAGGTGACTGAAGAAAAAACTCCGGGAAATGGTGGAAAAAACTCAGGGCCTAAAGAGTTAAGATTTATGTTTGCTATTTTCCTTTTTCTAATATTTTATATAAGCACAGAAGCAAATTCAAATCCAGGTATATTAATGATCATAGGCCTACGTGTCTTTTAACCGAATTCTGTCATCAATAGTAAGAATAGTATTACATCATTGTTGTACAAATTACAGAACTTATCTGTCATTTGGAGACAAAATGTATTGTGTTGTACTTAGCCTGTGATTTGGTCCCAGTGCCTTCTCAGATCAAGGACTAGATCTAGATCTAGTGTAATATTCTTTTCTTATTATTTTTGGAAAATCCAAAGACTAGTTTCACAGTAAAATCTTATTGCAATGTAAGTATATATTCAGTTTAACATGAAGACACATAGGTAGCTAACATGCACATTGTGAAACATGTACATCTTTTCAGGTCCCATTTTTTGTTCTTACCTGTATTTATATTTAAAACACATACTTTGCAAAATTTGCATAATATACATAGCAAAAAGATTTTCATATCCCTCTGATTTCGCTATGTATGTGCAAGCCTGTTTATGATGATTGTATAAGTGAAACACGTAGGTCTTCCTTTCCACTGATCTTGAATGTTCACGCAAACAGACTCATTAGCAACTTTTGCCATCTGCTTGCTAGTTTCCTGTGTTCAGTTTCATATCATTTAGTCTAATTAAATCAGGTTTTATTCCTTTCATTATGTTCTTCAAAGCATTGTTTCTTTTTCTCTTCGAAATGATTAAATTTTTTACCACAAAAAGTAGTAATCAATTAAGCACTGCAAAATAAATGTTCCCTGTGTGTTACCACTATTTTTAGGTTTTAATGTTGATTATCAGTGAAAGTTATATTCTGTTCTAGACACACACACACACAAACACACAAACACACACACATACATACACGCACACACACACATATAATTCACTTGCACACACGCAGACAGGCAGATGAAGACATGGACTGCTACGTGTTTAGAATTTACATCTGGAGAGATAGAGAAAATTTTTCTGAATACATCATGTATATTTTTATCTCAAAATTTTCAGGCAAAGTCCAGAGTGGTTTGATGGTGCATCCTGACCGGGAGCACATTGTGTACCCACTAGGTTGCAACATCATCATTGAAGACATCACAAAGGAAGCCAAACAGTGCATTCTTTCAGGTCACACCAATGATGTTACTTGCATCGATATCTCAAATGATGGTCGTTACATTGTTTCTGGACAAGAAACATTCATGGGTTTCAAGGTAATCCTAAATTTACAACCAGTGATTTGTGATAATGATAAATTTTGAGAAAAAAATCTTTTGACCTCATCCTTGAGGCACTGAAAACTATTGCACAGTTTCTTGTATGATTCAGAATTTTGTATCTGTTTAGCGTACCTGTTATAGGCAGACTTATGTAACACTTTGCGGTCACTTGGCGCATTAATGAGACAGTGAAAATTAACCATTCCGGTCAATTGGCACATCCGTTGCAGTCACTCTCCTGGCTGAGTAACCAGATGGGGTATTTTGTAGTGCTGGCTGTGTGACTGCAAAGTGTTAATTAAAGATGTCACTAGATGACAATGCTGCTGTAGAAATAAGACTTGAAAGTCAAGTCTTCCAAGGATTTTTTAATCTCAGAAAATCACAATTTAGCCAGCTGTTTATTTTATAGAGCATATTTTAAAAAAATGTACAGCTGCATAGAAAGCTTCTTGTCCTTCAGTGGGTGTTTGAACAGATAGAAGGAAAACATGTTGTCACAGTTAATTCGTGTGTACTCTTTGATTAAATAATACCGACGCTTCTACAGGCCATTATCACTCTGTGGGACTACGCCACGAAAAAAGCCATTCAAAAATGGGAACTGCACAAGGTCAAGGTTCAAGCTGTGGCTTTCTCTAAAAGTGGGAAATATGTGATTTCTCTTGGTGGTCAGGATGATGGATCGTGAGTATTTCTGTACATACAATACTTTAACATTTATTTGAATAGGCCTACTTGTACAAGGGCTTTAGGTTGCTGGGTAACTGTTGTAACAGCTACCATAACACTGTTTCTCATCTTAAATGTCCTAGCTTTTCCTTTAATTATTTTGTGCTCTAGTTCCAGTTTAGCACAAAACGCCTAGGTGAATATGACTTTAACAATGAGGTAGCTTTTTGAAAAATGTAAATTACATAAAACAGTGTTCGCATTTTTGTACAAATGAAAAAAGACTGAGTATTGCATTTCTTTACAAAAACACTTAAAAATATATTATTTGGTGGATACTGTTTCAATCAATGTTCAAGAGAAACTGCGTAAGAGATAAAGTTACCATACGGGCACTTGAAAATTTTTTTTTTGTGGTTGTAAAAAAAATCTTTTTTCGACTTAAAGGGCAGAGTGGTCTAGAAAAAATGCACTGTCTGTTATGGACTCCCTACCTTTGGAAATGACATTGACCAGACATATAAAGTGGTGGCACAGATACCTCGATATGAACATAAATAGCTTTTATTTTTCATGACAGGCATGGGGAACAGAACTTTAAAAAAATAATCAGCATGGGTAAAAATATCTGCAAAAGTTATGTGGACATATTTAGAGATAAAATGTATTACCAACAGGCATCATCATCTGCCTTTTTCACCCTGGTATTAATTAAGTATAGACTGCCAAGAAGGGTTCTCCACCTGTCTCTGTTCCGGGCAATCTTTCCTGCCTTCGGCCAGTTGTGTCCCATATGCACAAGATCTGCCTCCAGATCTCAATCCCAGGTGGATCTTGGCCTTCCTCTCTTCCACCTCCTCTGGGGATTCTGTCTGAGGCCTTGTCTTGTCACATTTTTGACCAGCTTCCTAACTGTGTGGTGATTACCAACAGTGCAATTGATAAAATTTCTTTGAAGAGAGGAAAAAACCCCAAAGACATGGCATGGGGAAGTGCTCGTGGGACAATATAAAAGACTTACTTTACTTTAATCCGCCACTTATGCCCTTTTGGGTGTCGCGGGAAGAAAGAGATGTCTCTCTGCCACCAGCCAGAGAGCTTGGGTCAGGGGGATGCCGTGAGTTGTTAGTGTTTCCTTGACTCTATCCAGGTCTTTCTCAGTCGCCCTCTAGCCTTTTTGCCATTGAATTTTTTAATGTAGGCATGTTGTGCTGGATGGTGTGTTGGTAATCGCTTGAGATGTTCAAACCATTTGATTCTTTGGTGTTGGATGTGATGCATGACATCATTTGTGCCCACCATTTCTCTGAACACTGAATTTCTAATTTTGTCTCGCCTGGTCTTGTTTACCGCTTTTCTAAGACATTGCATTTCACATGTTGTAATTCTTTGCTCTAATGTCTTGTTTGTTGTCCATGTTTGGCATTGATAGATGAGTGTTGGGATGAATATGGTGTTGATCATTTTGAGTTTTGTTGTCATGGGGATGTTAGGATGTTTCAGTAGTTGAGTAAGCTGGTAACTAACATTATTGGCCTTTTGTACTCGTGTTTCAATTTCTCTGCTTAGTCGTCGATCCTCTGTGAATATTATATACTTCCGAGGTACCTAAATTCTTGGATCTGTCCGAGACTGTTGTTGTTGATGTGTATCCTGAGTGGTCCTGGCTTTCTGCTTACTTTCATTGTCTCTGTTTTGTTGATGTTGATCTTCATGTCGTATTTGTTACATTCTTCGTTTAATCTTGCGGTGCGGTGTTGGAGACTTCGTTCATCTTATTGTGCCAGGCTTTGGTCATCAGTGAAGAGTAATGCATTTAGGGCGCCTGGTTCTGTGTTGGCCTCTTTTGCAATTCAATCCATATATGTATGATAAATAGTAGTGGTGATAGGACAAAACCTTGTCTTACTCCGGATATTATCTCGAACCATTCTGTGAGTCCCTCCGACGTTCTTACTGTACTTATGCTGTTCTCGTAAATGATATGGCTGTTAATGTTATCTAGAAGTTAGCCTCTTACAGTGTAGTTTTCGAGTTCTTTTCACAGCTTGTTTCTGTTCTCTCTTTTGAACGCTTTCTCCTGGTCAACAAATACTATGTTTAGTTCCCTGTTGTGTTCTATTACCCTTTCGCACATTCGTCATAGGGCAAAATATTGCGTCGGTGCATCTTCTTCCCTTTCTAAATCCCATTTAGGTTAGGCCTCACTCAGAAATGGTTCAACTTTGTGTCTGTTCGCCATTCCAATATCTTGATGAACATCTTGCCCACATGGCTTAGCAGTGAAATGCCTCTATACATTTCACAAATATTTAAAAAAATTATGATTTAGAGCGCCAATAGAATACTATGCCATCTTGATTTACTTTATACCGGTATTAAAAGTTTCAATCTCATTTGATTCTTTCATTCATAGAGTTGTTGTATGGGACATGGTGACCAAAGAGCCAATATGTGGTTCCCCTGCTCAGGTGGAAAGTGCTGGCATCACAACGTGTTTGGCTACTTCAAAAGTCAGTGATGAAGTGTTCGTCACCGGAGGAGAGTATGTATCTTAAAATTATTTGTGGTCATTTTTTGTTCTTAAATAATTTTAGTATTTTTTTAATGCACTTGAAGCGCAGTTTCATATAGAATAACACGTCATTCCATCTCTCTTTCAAAATTATAATCTGTGCTACTTCCCATAGAACTAACCTTCCATCTTCTACCTTTCTCTATTGGTGCCTTTTCTGATGTGTTTTTTTTCCTGGTAATATTTGCAGTTCTTGAATGCCTTTTTGGAACTTCAAAAGCTGAGACAAATTGGTAACTTTAATGATGCTTCACTTTTTTTTCCAGCAATACTCTACGTGTGTGGACAATTGACAAGGAAAACAGGAAGATTAGGCCATCAAATACAAACTTGGGTGGATTCAAGCGTTCCATTACTTGCATAGAGGTTAGTATTTACTTATCTGTGTGTTGAGTGTTATGTTTTTAAATCGTTTGATTTTTTTATGTGTCTTAAAATGGTGGATAACATAAATGAGTTTGATTATACTTTCCTTCTTCCGTAACGTCATTGCATTAGACATCCCTTTTATAAGAAAAATACGTCTGCATTATTGCATAGATGACAAACGTAAGATCTGAGTGGTTGATTAAAGCCTACTATTCAAAATTTATATGACAGAATACACAATATCATGTTAATGTAGACAAAATTTTTAGAAATATAATTGTTTATCATCACTTTTCAGAGTCTTGCTTCATGTCTCCAGATACGATATCTCCATCTTGTAGTTGCACTACTTATTTTCACCACAATCTCCTAACCTGAAATAAATAAATTCCTGAATGATGGGGTAGTGGATCTTGATGTTATACTGGTCTCAAAGCTTATGATCCCATAAAGTTCAGGAAATAATTTTTCCCTTGCTCTTTTTTCCTTCATTTCCATATACAGACCCTCAGTCATTCATTGTTCAATTAAAGCATTCCCGCCTTAAAACAAATTAATTAATGCGATGGGAGTTTGATCATGTTGTTCTGATGGTGTTAAAGAATTTGCCACAAGGTGAACTATTCTAAAGTAAGACAAACCTCCCAAAAATAATTTCAATCTGACATTTTACTCATTTGCTGTCAATGTGAGGTGAAACTTGCAAGTTGATTGTGAAGCTAACAGTGAGCTGATACGCCCTGCTGACAAATTCTTTTACTGTTTATGTTTTAGGAGGATAGAAATACTATCTTCATACTACAATCTAACACACATATAGTTAACAAGCACACATCAAAAGATTCGTATTGCAAAAGAAGTACTTAGGAAAATATGCATAGGTCTATAGCAAATAGATTTTCAGGTCCTGAATGCTTTGTATTTAAAACACGTACATATACAAATTCTAACAAAGCGAAAAGGTTTCCGCATCCTTTAGATTTTACTATGATACTGTATTTGGCTGAATGGTATTTGTTCCCATTCATTTTATTTGAACATAATTTTCTTTTTGAGGCATATACTGTAGTCTCCACGTAAGATCCCACCGCTTAAGATCCCGCTGTTTTCAGAAAACAGAGTTTTTACTATACAAAAGTCACCCCTAAGATCCCGCTCTGATTCACTCTGATGGTCTACATTCGGCTAAGATCCTGCCTTTCAGATAACAACTTATGAAACACAGCTGATGAACCAAGAGTTAAAAGTTTAGATAAATGACCTGCTTGTTGCATCAAAGGTCAGCCCCTCTCGTGAATGTGATCACACAAGCGTTGTTAAATTCGATGAAACGGTACAATGTTTTACCCAGACGGGAGCACACCGAGGTGTGAACTGACTGACGCGTTTGTTTTCTCCAAGCATCGCACTCGCATCTGAGCTCTCCACCTTAAATTACATCATTCACTCTGTAGACAGGGCCTACAAGCTTGCTCCAGGCGGGATCACATCGAACTGTGAACTCTTCCCTGACCATTGCAGCAGTTGTCTCTATTCCCGAATACGCAAGACAGACTGAATTTTGATTTGTGTGGTCACAACGTAATGGTGCATAACGGCGAAGGTGGAGGAACCCGGTCAGAGATGGAAAGCTATAAATTTTGGACAGATAAGGGGAGAATAAACCTAGAACTTGAGACTCACAATAGGATAGTAAGTGAAAATGGCATGTCTCATACTACTGTGATTGGTCATTAAGGTTGACCACTCTTTGCTCTACATATATATATAAATCATAAACCCACCCAGGGCTCACATCAGTTCATTTTAGAGTGAGAGGAGACTATTTTACTGGTTGTGGGCCTAAACATGGGTCACCGTACATTCTTCCCTTGGTCCGTCGGCTAAAATACCGTTCGCCTACGATCCCGCATATTCCTTGCTCCCGAGCACCGGGATCTTAGACGGAGACTACTGCATTGATTTACAAGTATCACATACAAAATGAAATTGTAAGAGTGGTAAAATGTTTATTGAGCTGTAATCAATTGGCCAATTTCCTTGCCTCCCACACACACACTAAAAAAAATCTCCCTCTCTCATTCTTATAAATAGATGGTAGATGACCAAGTGGAGGACATGCCTTACTTCTTCTGCGGCACCACCACTGGGGACATCCTGTGCATCAACAAGTCAACCAACATTCTCCAGTTTGAGTTTCCTGGCAAGGACAAGTTCTGTCTTGGAGTCACAGCTATTTCTTTTGTTAAAATGACTGACAAGGGATTCAATATGTTGATTGGCACAGGCAGTGGCATTGTTGGTAACTACAACATCAGCGTGTGCTTTGAAAAAGGAAACAAGGTCAAGACCGTCTTCAAACACAGATCTGATGCAAAGTATGTGTTTTGACAAATTATATGTAAAAATTTTATGCTAAATAGATTTTATGAAATCACAGCTGATGATGAGGGCAAGAGGGTAAAGATGTTGGGTACCTTACAGAGGGAACATAGGTCTATATTGATTAAAGAAAATTTTGTTTCTGATGAAAAACTTTGAAGTATCATGTCGTAAGCATTTTTTTTAAAATCCTGAGAAAGCACCCCCCCCCCCCCCCTCCCAACCTAAACAATGACTCGAGCAAAATAATATTAAAACTATACCTGCCTTAACATTTATATTCCTGAAGACAAAACTGTGTAGTCTTTTGGAAATAGATGCAATTTGAGGTTTTATGTCCTTTGCGTTGCATACAATTGGAAGGTTTGTAATATGAGCAATAGAGCGTATGCTCTCCATTACATCATTGGGAACTGTTTTGTAGCCTTTATTTTACCCTTTTGACAAAGTAATCTGAAAAATAATACCCTTTAAAAAATTAATCTGGAAAATAATTTGGCATAATGCTGTTGTAATGCATATGATGATAGTATGTGCTGGTTTCCCAAAATAATGGGTTTTAAATATAAATTGTATTTCAGGCCATGGAAACATTGTGAATCTGCTATTACATCCATTGCAAAGAGAGGTGCAGGACATCAGGTAAGAGGTTTTAGGAAGGTTGGGAGGTGGTCACTTGTTTAACCAGCCAGGGCTGCTCAATTGAGTTGAAAACTCTGTCTGGCCAGTGTACACCTACAAAAAGGAGCTCCAAAGTGTTTAACCCTACAACTGTCAGTGCATTTACCTGTGCTGTCAGGTGGGTTTTCTCTTTTTTTAAATATATATATTCAGAAAAAGCTTCAAGAGTGCTTACATGGGAGTTCACATGAAACCTAAAGAAACATATGTTTTCTGGAATTATGTTGAATGAGCTACATTAGGAGCATTCTTTTTATTTTTTGAATAAAATGAAATGACCTCAACTTACATTTGGTGATGTTGTATAAATTTTTTAATAAAACATTTATATACATAAGTGCATTTTGGGTCTGAAATTATTATTGCTTTGCTCTATATTGTAGCATATTTATTCTTCTTTGAGCAAATGTATACTTTTTATGGACTCAGATAATACACTGCTACTTTAATTATTGTCTCATTTGTCACCTGATCAGGGTTTTGAATAACTGGGATATTCTCTTCCGACCCTAAAATGGGACTTTTGAAGATCAAATAGGTTCTAAAACTATTGATAACATTGATTTTTACTCCCTTACATCTTCTGAAAGAAGATTGAATGAGCTACATCATGAGCATATATAATATGATTTTGGTTTTTGAACAGAGTATATGACTTTGTTTAACCTTGAGCTTTCATGACTCTTTTTCCACATTCTGTTTTACTCCAAAATCCACTTTTCATAGAATAAATTTCCTCATGATTTATTCTAAATTGGAGCTAATATATTTTTCTGTTAAAAAATCCACCTCTTTTGTGCTATCAAATTGTATATTATTACGGGAGGCCTATTGTTATTAAAAGGGTATTATCTAACTCAGCTGTGTAAACAAAAATATTGGCATCGCTTATTAAGATTTTGTGTCTCTTCTAGCAGAAGAAGGTAACCAAAAACAATGAAAACATAAGTCAATGTAGTTCTCAATGTAACGGAAAAGCTCTCTACAAGAAAGTGAGAACGAGTGTGATGTCATGTTAGATCACAAGCCAATTAAATATTGGCTGAAACAGCAAAACAACGGTTGACCAGCCAATATAATCGACCTATAATGATGGTTGTAGGGTTAAACTTGATATTGACCCCACAGTCAAGTGCAGCAAGACCTACCTGATGCTCCTTTGTTGAAAAAAATAACATTTTAAACATTTTTAGCAGTTTGTTGAAGAAAATAACATTTTAAACATTTTTAGCAGTTTGTTGAAGAAAATAACATTTTAAACATTTTTAGCAGTCCCTTGTGTAATATTATAACTCTTAATAATTATTATCATTATCATCATTGTTATAATTTATATTGATGATTTTTGTTATCTTACACATTATTATTACAATTTATGATTGTTGAAGCCACTCCCAACTTTTCTGCTCTTAAAATTTACTTTATGTGAGTTATTTTCTTGAAACTGGCATGGCCAAAAAACCCAAAACTGTTTATTTAGGAGAAGGCAAATGGGATATTCACAAATTAGGGCCTACTTAGAATGTCTATACACTTTGTGCACATTTTAGAAAATCAGATAAATGGCTAGCACACTTTAGGGTTTAAGATATGTTAGAAACTTATTAGACTGGATCTCACATTTAAACATATTTGTTATGTAAAAGTCTATTACTTTTTTTTATTGCTGGAAGGATCCCCTCTCTTTGTTTCAAATGCAAATGCATCAGTCTATTTTCTGCTACGTTTTCACATATCTTATCTGTGTAAAAGTTTCCACAGGATTAAAAGTTTACTTAAAGTCCATATTCTTTTATTTCATCTTTACGCAGTTTTTCGTGGGGACTGACCACTCACAAGTCTACAAGTTCCAGTTTGCTGATTACTCTGCTGATCTCATCAAGACATGCCATTCATGCCCTGTTAACGACATTATTTTCCCCTTGTAAGTTGTCGCGTGACTAAGGTTGTTGAGAATATAGTGTTGTAATCAGGGGCGGTTTGTTAACTGGGCAAGACCGGCGGTGCCGGTCAGAATTTTGTCAACTGAACTGTTGACTAGAGGTTTATTGCTGATGATGATTTTCATTCAGTTTTAAGTAAATCCAAACAAACATGTATCAACATTCAAAAACACCTTGCCGATTTGACGAAGGCGCTCAATTAGACAAGTGGGATTCACTGCTGTTTTGTCGCGACATAACCTCATTCCTTCACGTTTGTTATCGCGCCGGCTCGTAACTTTAAATCGTCTCACGTCAAACCATCACGTCGCGGAACTTCGTACTAAGTACACACAAATACACGGCGGGCTTGGCTAAGGCCTAGCGAGGTCGTCAGTCCCATGGACAAATCCATCGTCAGTCCATAGAAAGATTAGTGTATCCCTTAATTGCCAGATTGGCCTCTTTGTAGCTTACAAAATTAAGAATGAGACTGTCTTGAGCAGCACAGACACATGTATTATTTTATCAGCAAAACATGTATTTATCATTCAGCCTTTCTCTAACTACTATCAGAACATTTATTGTCAGCATGGCACTACTCTTTTTTGTTTATTGACTTTTTAACCACCTATAGTTCCTGTTTGGCATTTACTCATCGTTTTCTCCCCACTAATAACTTACCTGGCCCTTAGGAGTCTGGCCGGCGAAAGAAGGAATCGTCTAGTGAAGATATATAAGGAAAATTTTAACGAGGAGCGTAGGCACTCGGCTGTCAGAGTCTGGGCCGAAAACCCCCTCCCTTCCCTCCCCTTTTCAACCCTCACCCCAGCTAGACACCAAGTTCTATAATAAGCATTTGACACACTTCCCCGCTTTGTTACAGCATAGTGTTCAGTGTTCAGTTCTGAGAACTGAGAAGTGCGATGAAATACATTTGATGATATAATGATCGGAAACTTGTGTGCTTTGTCCAGCTTTGTATAGCATCTGATTGTAGACTTGATCTGCTTGGGACAGCGTCACTGGTACAGTAGCAATTGATTTTTTGTCATCATACAGGACAGTTCTTATTACATATATTTAACGGGTTCAGTGCACGTCGATATTTTGTATAGGGGTGTAGAAAGTACGAGTAAAGTACTGTACTGGAGGCCAGGACCAGCGATTTATTGCTTCTCACTTTCAGTTTGTTTTCTAGCTTAGACTCAAGTAGTGTGTTTCTTTTTCTGTGCCGATCAAGTGAGTTTCTATTAATCTCAGTAACTTCCATCTTACATTATGCATAATATTGTTTCTTGATGCTACCGCATATTTTAGCTCTTTCACATTATATTACAATGTTTACTGTGGTGTGTGTGTGTGTGTGTGTGTGAGTGGGGGAGGGGGTGGGGATGGCGAAAGTAGGGGTATAAAATAAGGAGAGAGAGAGAGAGAGAGAGAGAGAGAGAGAGAGAGAGAGAGAGAGAGAGAGAGAGAGAGAGAGAGAGAGAGAGAGAGAGAGAGAGAGAGCATGTGTGTGTGCGTGCGTGCGTGTGTGTGTGTGTAGTGTGTGTGTGTGTGCGCGTGTGTGTGTGCGTGTGTGTGTGTGTGTGAGTGTGTGTGTTGTGAAGGAAGGGGGTGGGGGAGGGAAAAATAGTTGACGTGAATGACCGCCGGTCAGTTCTATAAACCACGAGCAGCCACTGGTTGTAATATTTGTAATTTTAAACTTGGAAAAATTAAAGCCATTTTTAAGGGAAGAATTAAAAGATTGCAAAGTAACTGGAGCATTAATTAAGTGATGCTCTTAAATGCTCCACTTTATTCTGTTAATAGCAAGTACCCTTTTCAACACAGTTTAAGTTTATCTCAAGAAGTAGGAGCTTAAAATTTAAGTTCATCCTTGATGGGATAAACATTAAACTGCCCAGAAAAAGTTAATGAAGTGTGAAGTTTAACTTAAATTTTCAGCAAATATTTAATTGAATTCATACATTGCTTTCAGCGGTGTGGCTCAGCTGATTCTCACCTGTCAGGAGGGTGAGATCAGGGTTTGGGACTTGACCACTGGCAGAGAGTTGCGGAGGTTTGTCCTTGCAAACAAAGTCTGCAATGCTTTGGCAATCTCACGGGATGGAAAAATTGTTGTTTCAGGTAGGCCCCATGTATATTTCGGTGCATGTAAATGATGATTCATCCCAAAGTTTCAGGTCAAATATATGCAATTTATTAAAAAAACCAGAAGTGTTTACAATACTGGTTGGGTACAATATGGTGTATAGGAATCTGCTCTTTGTACTCAGATATGAAGTTATTAGAAGTACACTGTCGAAGAACTCTCCTTTTTAAGGCATTTAGTTTACTGAAGTGGTCTTTTTTTTCAGGTTGGAATGATGGAAAAATCAGGATTCTGGGATTCAAGAGCAAAGACCTTTCTTTGGAACTGAAACATGTGGTAATGGATGCCCACAACAAAGGTGTCACAGCTGTAGCACTGACCACCAGAGGAGATCAAGTTATAAGTGGAGGTGGTGATGGCATGGTGAGTATATTAAAATGAACGAAATATGAACCTGCTGAAAGAATATGGAGAGATGAGGGCGTTAAACCTACATTTTAAAAAAAAGCAAAGATATAAAAAATGTTTGGTAAAAATCTCTCAAATTGTTTTATGGTCTAGGGCAAGGGTGAAGGCTGATTTGTTTGACAGGGAAATCAAAGTTGGACAAACCCCCCCCCCCCCGGATAGAGGTGAGGCCACACAGGAAAAACTTTCCAACTAATGGAACATAACTTTATAAGCATCACTGAGTTGTGAATGAAAACAAATCCTGAATTGATAATTTGTATGTACCCATGAAAACAATCGAGAAAATATCTCATTAATATTTTTTCTCACTTTGGGCTAAATGTAATTATAACTTTTGAACATGCAGTGGGAATAGTGGTCTTGAGATATTTTAACAGTATATTTAATTAAGATAGATAAGATAATACTTTATTATTCTTGAGGGAAATTTTTCTTGGCTGTACAGGACCGTAAAAACACATGCAAGTATACATAAAAAATCTATTACTCTCATTAGAATTCAACATGAAAAGAGAAGTAAAGCTGACAAAATGTACGTATCGCATCAGATGCATCATTCAACCACCTGCAGGAATTTGATTACAAAACTTCTGGAGTTATATACTCATAGATACATACTCTAAAGAGCAATACACATTATGCTTATTCTGACAATAGCCTTATGCTAGATGGTAAAAAACTTCTTTTATATCTTTCTTTCTTTGTTTTTGGAGGTACATATCTGCCTCTGTATGATCTTACATTTGCGTGTTGAAAGTGGGTGTGATGGGTCGTTTATAATGCTTTTTATCTTTTTTATAATTGTGGTGTTATACATTTCATCAATTCTAGTAAAATCATATCCAGAGATCTTGCTGGCTTTCTTAATGGTTCTATCAAATTTTTCTTTATTTTTCACCTTACAATTCCCAGCCCAGCAGCAAATACAAAATAATAGCATGCTTTCAATCATAGAATGGTACAAAAGGGACTTAATCTTATTATCAACACGGAAACTTCTTAATTTCCTTAAGAGGAACATTCTTTGATTTACTTTTTTATGCACAAGAGCAGCTTGGGGATGCCAGTCAAGTTTGTTATCAGTTGTTATGCCAAGATACTTGTAAGAGCTTACCACCTCCACTTCTTCATCTAAACGTGGTTGCAATTGGTCTTTTTTTACTCTAAAGTCTATTATTAATTCCTTTGTCTTTTTTACATTTAGTAAAAGGAGGTGGTTATCACACCAATTTGTAAATACATTTACAGCGTCCCTGTATTCATTCTCATTTGTTGTTTTAGGGCCTTGTAGAGTGGAGTCTTCTGCAAATTTGATTAGTTTGATGTTTTTGTTATCAAAAGTAGTCATTTGTGTAGAGCGTAAACAAAACAGAGGAGATTACACAGCCTTGGGGCGCACCGGTGTTTGTGAATATTAGGTCAGATTTTACACCATTTAATTTTATATTGATGTCGATTGGTTAAGAACTCAAGCTATATTGTTCTTGTTTATGTTCATGTTAATTAATTTTGAAACTATTAAGTGGGGTTGGATTGTGTTGAAAGCGGATGAAAAATCAGCAAAAAGTATCCTGCAGTATTTTCTTGGTGTGTCTATGTGTTTGTAGATGTTATCTAAGAACACGAGAATGGCATCCTAAAGGTGAGAACCCTCAAATTCAAACAGAAGGCAAAGAAGCAGAGATGACAACAGTTACAGTAAATATAAACAACATAACTTTGCCCTTGTAAAAAAAAAAGCCAAATACAAAATTGTTGCCCTCTCAGGTACGAATGTGGGAGATCATCACTTTCATGGACCACACTGGAAAGAAGGAGATGAGAGCAGATCTTCGGCACAGCATGAAGGAACACAAGAACTGTGTGTCAGAGATTGTCATTGCCAGCAGTGACAAGGAGTGTGCATCAGCCAGTGGAGATGGAACCACAATCATTTGGGATCTCACGTAAGATGAGCTTCTGTTGTTATGTTAGCATTGTAACACAGTTAAATGATTGAAAACGTCTAAAATTTCTTTCCTTAGACTACAGTTGAGTTCACTTAAAGGTATGTCAGGAAAAGATAAAAACTGGTTCAAACTCCCTTAAAATCTATGTAATGGTCACAATAAAAAAACCATACTGAATTACTGTTGAAAAAGTGCGCGTTTATGATAAGACTATAGCTTTATGTTAATTGGACCATACTGCCGTTGCTGAATTTAAGTAGGTAGAGTAAACATGGCCTCACGGGCACTCGTGGCCTTCCGAGCGCGTGGTATATAGGTGAAATCGGGGTAATTCCGATCGCTGTTTCTTTGCTCTTTCGCTATAAAACACCAAAATGCCGTACACTTTGTAAAAGTTAAGCTTTTCCTCGTTACAACGGTGTAAGTTGTTTATATGTCCGATTATTAGGAGCTGGAAAATTGCCGAAGAGAGCAAAGCCCCTCGCGGTCGGAATGCGTGGTCGGCCGGTTCTAAAATTGACACACGTGCATTCAAATGCTTCGCGGAACGAGGGATGATTAAATACCGTCTTTTCATTGGTGGAGAACTGTAGAGCTTTAAACGGGCTTTCCCGTAGTATATTTTTGGCCTTTGGCATTTAAATAGAAAGCCTTTAAAAACACTGTCAAGTTTTTCAAAGATCAATTTTTACACTTGGTACTCTTTTATGATCTGTCAAATATGGGGTTGCAGACAGTGACTGACTTTAACAAATTTGATCAAATTTTAAACAACTACCACTTTCTTTAACTCTTATCCTGCGTCTGTGCCCAGATGCGTATCTTATCAGCAACCGATTACGTCGGACTCGCCGGGCAGGCCGCCGGGGTCACTCAGTGTGTACTGTTGGTGTACAGCGCGCGCGCCGGGAAACGTGTGTTTTCGCCATGAATACCGCGGGAGTGTGTTAACTGATGATGAAAATAACGCTCTATCCTTCATAGCATTCTATTTATAAAGTGTTACAAACACATGAATAACCCCCTCTCACAAGCTGATAAGACATTACGAGTAGTTACGCCCATTTGAATAACCTTTCTGGACGCTCTTGTTGTTATGAATGACCTGAGGTTCGAAAAGGGATAATTTAGGTCAATTTCCGAATGTTTTACACTCAAATTGTTCTTTGTACCTGCACAAGGGTATTCAAAACTATTAAACAAGCTCATCTTTTATCAGGTAGTATCATTTCATACAAAATCAAGCTCATTTGAAATATTTTGTATAGAAAAACGGAAGTCTTGTTTCCTGACTATCCTTTCGAGCTCCTCATGTCTAAGTGGGTCAATTTCTTCTATAATTTCATTGGACGAACATCTAGAGCTATCAACTTGGCATGTTTTGAATGAGACGTATGCCTCGATTACGAACCAACGCAGGTGGTTCTAGAAGAAGGCCACAAACGCACACAAACTCAAGCAGACTGACGCACACACACTTGACCTGCGTGAATGGGGATCCGACTCGGGACCCGAATGACACGTAAGAGGATGCGCGCTGCGCGTGCGCTGAGCCAGGAGCTACACTGACTCGGGACCAGAACGCAGGCGAGGTGCCGAAATAGGCTTATCGGGCTACATAAACCCGGCTCCCGCAGGATGAGGGTTAAAAATTGACTGAGAGGTTAAAGAATGGTACCAAAATGCTCAGTGGATATAGGCCTTTCAAATGGAACAGATAAATTTAGTATACAGCTACTTTGAAAATTTAGTTTCTGCTACCTAATTTAACTCATTCGCTGCGCCGAGCTGTGGGGGGCGGCGCGGCTAAAGTGCCGTCAGTACGCTAAGCTGCCCCCGGCGGCTCGAGAACTGATCTTCAATTTTAGCTTAGATTCTATTCCAATCCACATATCCATGTTAAAATAAAGGTCATAATATAATGTTGACTTCTGGGTCAAGCATTTCCACTGAAAATCGGAAGTTTAGATTCAGTTTTGAAATGCGATTTCGTAGTTTATTCGACTTTGTTGTATCGTGATGCCAAAATTATAGCCCGGACACCAGTCTTAGTAATTGTACACAACAAAATCTATCATTATTTTGCCCACTAAAGAAATGTAGGACTCTTTTTTATAATATTAATACGATTGGACTCATATTGCCAATGCGCTGTTATTGAGAATTCAATATTTTTGAGTGCTAGATCTAGGTCTAGATCTAAATTGTCAAAATATTATTTTCTCACCAAAATCACTACTTTTTGATGAAATTACACAAAAAGTGCCACTCAAGACATGTATAGGTTTATTTCAAATGCAATTCTGAATAATTCCATATAAGATACGAGTGGGGTTAATTTTTCTGTTTGTGATCGTTTTTCAAGATTATAAAATTTAATTTTTTTTTTTCAATATCGGATGTTATGACCCAAATGTACAAATATTATGGAATGTATGTAAATAACTGCAAACTTTTCAATATTTTCCAGTTCTATATTCATTTATGGCTATTTTGATGTATCATTTGACTAGGTGGGAACATATTTTTTGAGTTTCACCAAAGATTATTAATTTTTTATTTTCAAATTTTATCCGCATCCAATCAAAAGTGTGTTGTATAATCGCCTCTTACGGGAACCAAAGTTGAAAAATACATGAATAAACATTACAGATGTATTCTACAAACCATACTGAAAATATTGGTATATAATACGTTAGTATTTATTTGAATTTGTGGCCCCAAAGACCTTTTAACTGCCCACTAGTAATCATCTCATTCGCCCTCCCGAAAAAAATTCGTCCACAAGCTGAAAATAATACGTAGCGAATGAGTTAAGAACATTTTTTGTCTGTTCCTGCAGGAAAGGCTCTCGTAAAACTGTAGTGTTCGCCAACACTCTGTTCAAAAGTGTGTGTTATGGTGAAGACGAGCATCAGATCATCACCTGTGGCACAGATCACAAGATTGGCTACTGGGAGACGTATGACGGCTCAATGATTCGCGAGTTGGAGGGCGCTAAGGCGGGAGCCATTAACTTCATGGACATCACATCAGACCAGAAGGCTTTTGCCACTGGTGGAGAGGAGAAGCTCATTAAGGTAAAAAACTTGACACTTTCTTTATTCTGTTGAAAGAAAACCATTAAGCCTATAATAAAGATAGAAAGCTATCATTTACTTGTATGTCTCGCAAGTAAAGATTTACAAGAAAAAATGGAACACCTTATTCAAAAACTAAAGTAGTGGTTCTTCACTAGTCCGAACAGGTTGCAACGAAAGAAAACATTGCCAACTGTACTTCTAAATGAAATTTCTTGTTTGGACTCTTAAGAGTTCTGCCGTTATTTTTAAAAGTACAATATGCAGGGTTTTTTCAGTTTTAGAGGAGAGCCAAAAAACTGAATGTTGTTAGTGATAAAGCAACATTTGCTTTAAAGATAAAAATGAAGTCCTGATCAAAATTGTATTCTTAAAAATATTGACTTGGGATGTTTGCAAAGAGATCGTTTTCTTGGTGACAGCATTCAGTTTTTTGGCTCTCCTGTAAAATTGTAAAAACTGCATGTAGGCCTATTGTAGATTTTAGCAGGACACAAAGTGAAGATCAATAGAGCACAAACACTATCCTGGGTATGATGTTACCTCCAAGGCCATTGGTAACAGAATGAGTCTTTATCGATGAGAGTCAGTCAAAGTAAAAGTCCCCCTTTTGGGGCAAAAGTTCTAGATCTCGTGTACATTTAATAATTATTGCAGTTTTTCATTAGTACTTAATGGCACAGGTGGGGCAATATGAATATATTATCACCTGGGGCCATGTTAACAGAAGTGATGACTGGGCACAATATGCGCTATTCATAACAATGACTAGGGAGTACAAGAAAGTAGCCTACTGATGAAAGCTAGTTTAGAAAGAGCAGAAGAGCTTGTTCAACTTCTTGATCAATATTGTAGGCGATTGCATGGCTTTCTGGCTATGGCGAGAATGAAATGTCAACAGATTTTGCATTAATTTTGATGTGCCTCAACAATAGGTGTCATTGATGGTCTATGGTGTAGTACTCACCACTGCATGCACAAGATGTGAATTCAATTTCTTCATATGGATGTTATTTCATCAAGTACAGTGGAACCCTACCACAATATGCTGAAGGCCCAGGAAGTTGTCTTGCTTACAAAGCAATCCCCAATGTCCGGATCGGATACGGGAACAACTTTACTTTTACAGTGGAACCCCTTTTTAACTCTTTCCGGACGTAGTTTTTTTTTTGGTCTAGACATAGGTAGCGTAAACACTGCCTCGCGGGCACTCGCGGCCTTCCGAGTGCGTGGTATCGGTGAAATCGGGGTAATTCCGATCACTGTTTCTTTGCTCTTTCGCTATAAAACACCAAAAGGCCGTACACATTGTAAAAGTTAAGCTTTTCCTCGTTACAACGGTGTAAGTTGTTTATATGTCCGATTATTAGGAGCTGGAGAATCGCTGATGAAAGCGAAGCCCCTCGCAGTCGGAATGCGTGGCCGGCCGGTTAAAAAATTGACACGTGTGCATTCAAATACTTTGCGGAATGAAGGATGATTAAATACCGTCTTTTCAGTGGCGGAGAACTGTAGAGCTTTAAACAGGCTTTCCCGTGGTATATATTTAGCCTTTGGTGTTTAAATAGAAAGCTTTTAAAAATACTGTCAAATGTTAAAAGATCACTTTTAACACAAAATATGTAAAATACCGGCTTAAAAAAGGTATTAATTAAAGATCAGTTCATTTCCTATTAGAATAAAGTAATCAGCTTGGAATTAATTTTCATCAATCCTTCTGCGAGACTCGGAAAACATGTGACCCCGCACGTGGGGTACACTACAGTATAGAGCCGACTCCTTCACCGCGGGGCTCGGTGCGGCGCCGGCCGGGTCAACGCTCGTGTTTTTGTTGAAATAAGGACAGATCATCGTGTTTGAGGCGATAAAATACTGATCTGTAATGATCTCACAGTCTTGAAAAAAATTAGGCTCCATATATTTGTTATAGTGATTGTACTCTGTTAATGTGGAGATGTTTAGTGCACTTGGTACTCTTTTATTGTCTGTCAAACATGGGGTTGCAGCCAGTGATTGACTTTAACAAATTGGATCAAATTTTAAACAACTACCATTTTCTTAAAAATTGACTGAGAGGTTAAAGAATGGTACCAAAATGCTCAGTGGATATAGGCCTTTCAAATGGAACTGATAAATTTGGCATACAGCTACTTTGAAAATTTAGTTTCTGGTACCCACTAGACATAATTAACTTGTGGATCGATTTGGCTATGCAGGTGGTGTACAAAATAACTTCATAGAAGCATAACCATCACTCAAAACGTACATATGATATATCAAATTGAAGGAAATGGAATGAGGAATACATTCCAATATGAAACAAGGATTAATTTTGAACATAAGTATGCATTACAAGGGTTAGAAATGGTGATGAGAAAAATAAATTTTGACTGAAAAAATTACATTCACCAAACATGTGAAAGCAAATCAGCATAGCTGTCTTATCATATACAGGCCAAGAGCGTAATCCGTAAATTTCTGAATGTGCAGCTTTGTATTTCAAAGCAATATTCCAATTTTTGTTTGAGTAATGATATTTATACTGAGTCCGGTTACATCGTTTTGTTGATGCAGACCGCAAGAACTAATTCACTCATTTTTCCTTTTCGAGTTTTTCAATAGCAATGAAAAGTAATTTTTAAATGATGGATTGTGTAAAAACGAAACAAAACTGAGGCTCCCTATCACAGCCGATATATCGGCGATACGTCCTCAAGGGGTGTGGACTCTTGCCGATATATCGGCGATACGTCTGGAAGGAGTTAACCAAATAAGGTTCATTTGAAAATGTCAATAAACCAAGAAAAAAAAATTTAAAAAATAGAATCCCAAATTTTTTTTCTTAGTATTTTGAGCAACCTCTCCAAACTGAAAACATGGCTAAATCAGAGTCCCATAGAATCTGCTGTACTTCCTTCTATTACTTCTATCTTCTGGGATGCTGTATCCCACTCTGTCTGTTTGGCCCTTGTACAGACAAGGTTGAAGTTGCCTGTCATCAAAATGATCTAAATTGCATTAATGTGGGACTATAACAAGTACAATGACAATGTACCCCAGCAGACCTTTCCACACTATGAAGGGTAGCCTCAATAATCAAAGCTTCTCTATTTTCCACAGCTATGGCGCTACAGAGAAGGAGAGGTTACTCATGTTGGTAAAGGCCACAGCGCTAACATCAGCAGGATAAGGATTGCCCCAGACAATCGAAGTTTAATCAGTGTCAGTGAAGATGGAGCCATTTTGCAGTGGAGATTCCCAGCTGTTTAAAGAATGAGTAGCAACCTATCTAAAGGGCAGATGTTCTCTTTTGAATCTTACAGACCTCTCTAATTTGAAGAAGTAAAATTTTATTTTTTAAAATTCTGCTTCTTGGCTATTAACTGATATTGTCTTTAAAGATTACAAGAAAACTATTTATAATTTTTTTTTGCATCAGAGTCCATATATACTAAACCTGAAGAGTGATCCGAAGCTCACATTCTCATAATAGTGGAAGTGGATGTCAGGATTTTGATCAAATCAATTTGGTCCCCCAAAAATCAATCACACATGGCATGCGGATACCATTTTTGGCTCTTACTTTTCTCAGATGTCAGACATTCTCACCTGTTCTCTGACCTTTTTAAGGGTTGTATATTTATCAAAGTATCACAGTGCTTCTTTTTAAATCATCTTTTGTGTTCTGAGTCCTTAAGTGTGAATATTCAGAAGTACTGGAGCAAAATGGTACACAACTGTACCTCAGCATTGTATGATGAAGAAATGGTTCATACCTTTTCCATTTACAACTTTTAATTGCTGTAATAGCCATTCTAAATTCTTTTTTGTGCATGTACTGTTTTCTGTAGATTTGAGAATGTGGAATAAGTGGGAAGATGAATGAATGAATTTCTAGGTGAATTTATTGTGTTGTTTTTATTTCCTGTCATTACTGAAACAACCAGCTATATAACTGTACACTATGGATTTGCTTTTTCATTGTGATGACTGAGTGTTATTGGAAAGAAATTCAGTATTGGGTCATTTTTATACATGATTTACACAAAGTATATATATCTCTTTAAAAACATGTTTTTTTTAAGCTGCCTTCCATTGTAGATGTTATTTCCCAATTGTAATGTGAAATTTATTTTGGATTAGCTTTTATTGAGAAGAACAGATAGCTTCTTTTCATTTTATCACTTTATGTCACACTAACACTTGAATATCAGTCAATGATGTTTCTCTTGTTCAAGTTTATTATTAGGTACTCTGAACATGAAATCAGAGATCATAAATATAAAGATATGAAAACATACCGCTGTACTAGAGCAACCATGTGGCACACATTTGCCATATTCTGTGGTCAAAAGCCTTAGAAAACATATTGAAAAATAAATTGTACTGTTTGAATCATTTTTTGGGGTTTTATTTCCTGATTTTTATACTGAAACCACTGTCATTGTTTATTAGGATGACAGTTTTATTTATCATGAGGTTTCAGTCAAAATGATCCCATTAGCATCAGAATATCCAGCATGTTCAATTCTGTGTGGACTACTGGGCCCCTCTATTTAGACTTTACTTTGAAAAGCTGCAACATTAAAAATGTGAAAAAAATATTAAGCGCTCAAGGAGTGTGTTCCCACTGTCAACACTGATTTTCATCTAAGCTTGTTAGCCAGGACAGCATTCTCATGTCTCAGTGTTAGTGGACTTGCTGTCTAGATTTAGCCTACTCGTGACATACAGTTGAACCTGCCCTGACGGCCACCTGTACAAACGGCCACCTTCCATTTCACCCCTTGCATTTTTTCTATATAATCTAACTGTGTAAAATGGGCACCTGTCCAACGCGGTCGCGGCCACTTTATTTTAACACCCAACCCCTATCACACCACGCAATAACACCTGTCTTAGACTGCCACCTTAGACTTAGTGACTCCATTACATTTTGTCATAAATTGTGCATTGGCCCCTGGCGTTGTGGGCGAGCCGTCATTACCCAATCACCCATCGTTGTAGTTAGGTAGTCCCTCCAACCGATCATGTTGCGTAGCCCTCTCCCACTGTTGACCAATAGGTACCAATTTTCAGCTGCTGGTGAGGTAAGCGTATGATCCCTCACAACCTATAAGCCTCATCCAGAACTCGCACACAAATCGTAAGTGAGATGAGCGGTCACTGTTTACCCAGTCTGTAACAAAGTAACAATGGACATCAACATGAACTTGTGACAGAAGCGTCGCTCGTTCTCTGAGTGGTGGCGACCCATGTGTTTGTTTTAACATGGCACTCGGTCTTCCTCATTTGATACATTTTGTTTTATTGTCACATTGCGCAAAAGCAGCAACAAAATAAAAATAAACAAAATATAAACCAACAACAACAACAACAACAATGCAGCTGCTTTCGATTGGGACATCAGATGGGAATGATTTGTTTTCTTCATCTTGATATGTCCTGCCTAAGACGGCCACCTGCCTTATATACGGCCACTTTTCTAAGTAATTTTGGTGTTAACGTTTTGCAAGAGCAAGCAGTTGTCAGCAAGACAAGACCTATGTTTATCGATTGCTTGTAAGCCTTGCAGTAAACTAATACGCCAATATAATGCACATTTTTTATTTCCAAATACGAATCTACGTTGTGCTAGTGGCTTAACCTTTCCAGCTCCAGCCATTTTTGTGCACTCCCTAACCCCAGTCCTAGCCACTACAGCAGTATTTCAGAAAGAGGCATGCATTCTAAAAAGTGATGTAGGATCTTTGTAATGAGGTTTAGATAAAAACATATGAGTCACGATGCAGTGGAATCAGGCGATCATCAATTTTTAGGCTATAGAGTTATTGGTATCATCTTAATGGTTGTTCATTTGCCTTGCTTTCGATGAAAAAAACAATATCCATGTATCTTCAATAAAAGTCAAGATATTTACGATTGAAGGAGGTGGGGTTGCCAGGTTTCAGAAAAAAAATTAACGAGAAAATGGCCGTAAAGGTTTGGTGACTTCAGTAGCTTAACTCACTCACTGCCATTGCAGCACTTGTGCCGGTCAATAGGCGATGACCACTCACCGCCGCTACTGCACCCCTATTGGTCGCATATTTTACTCTTTATTCCTACTAACTGCCGACACATATGCCGCAACGGCATAGCCCAATTACTAGAGTAACATCCCTTTGACCAGTGCAGTTTCACTTTATTAGAATGATTTCCCTTGAAGTTCTGCCTATTTTTGGAACAGGAGTCCCCTTTGTCCTATTTTTGGGTTTTGTTTCGAACGTCGGGCGGCTGAAGTCGACCGAACACTCATGCCGATATGAGAATTGAAAATGGCTAGTAATTTTAGAGATTCTGAATCCATATTATTCAATGAACTCTGATTCTGATAATGAAGTGCAAAATAATGGTAGTGTTGGTAGTTTGAGGTGAGAGAAAGAGGAAGATCACCTGTCGACAGTAGTAGGAGCTACTGGATCTAGACTTCTAGTACTGAGTCTAGTACGACGACTTATGATTCAAGCGGTGACGTTTGAAATAGTGTAGCTTAAGTCATCATAAACTTATCAATTTAGTTTTCTTTGTTTTGCTATATATATTTTTGTGTACATTTTAGGACAAAAACAGCAAAAATATTGTACTGGCTAGTTCGGCCCCCCCAAAAAGTTTTAGTCCCCAAAGTTGGTCGTTTTTTGAAAAGCTATAAAACATTAACAAAATAACTCAGAGTCAAAATTCTTTCTGTTCTGGAAAGCTCAACATCTCCTACAGAAACTGTCCAATTTTCATAAATCTAACCAAACATAAATAGGTCACGGCTGTTCAGTTCTACTATTCTTGCGGAGCACTTAGTTTAACCCGTCCGCTGACCTTCCGGGGTCATAAATCTCACCCGACAGTCGGGCTGCGCATCGCTTCCTGGGCGATAGCGCTGTTAGCCGATTTCGGTTAGAAAGTCTGTAATTTTCACTTGATTTAGACCCCTGTAAATGTCCTCTCTTATCTATCACTATGGGTGTGTGAGGTATCAAATGAAAGCTCAGATCTCCCAAGTAACCCACATCCTTTCGTTTGGTTCTAGTTCTAATCGTGTACACACACTGCCTCTGTACTTAACCCTACCTTGAGGAGCACGTATTTCTCGGAATCCTCCAAAATCAGGATTTTTTTCCCATTCGTGAACCTCAGACATTGTAACCAGTTTTTTATCTGCTGTAAGAGTCTGTAAGGAGGTTATTTGTGAAAAAATTGTTTAGATAGGTTGAAAAACTTTTGCAGGACAGCGAGTTTTGTTACTTCACCCCGTAACATTTTCCAGGCTGCCGTGCTGCTCTTGTTGGTATTCACCCGAGGTCCCACTTTCACTTTCTGGGATTCTGTGTTGACAAGTGTTATGAGAGTCTGCTACCAGAGTGAAAATGGAACCTTGAGTGTTTAAAAAAAAATTGTGTAGAACGTGCGGGGCGAAAAGTCAAAAGATTAGGAAGGCAAACTAGAGCAAATATTTTTGTGTAAATTTTAAGAATGACGTACTCGTTCTCTATCATGTGAACGGGGACTGGGATAGTGCAGACACACATCCTGTACACTGTGCAACAAATGTGTAGGCCTACAGCGCATATACACCTTAAAAATTGGAGAAGCAACCCTAGCTGCTGCACAAAAAAGTATTGAAGAAAGTTCACACATCTGGACACCTTTCGATCAAAATAAAACAGTAGATGCTTGCCCTGTGTGTTCGTTTCCTTTGCACACTTCAAAATAAAGTTTATATAAGAAAAGGACATCAAACACCGTCTTGCCTTAAAGACCCACCAGAGTCTCCATTTGTTGAAACAACTACCCATGTAATTGCGGCAGACAAACAATCACATGAAAGTACTCAACAGACATCCATAGTAGATCAATCATCACCAGAAATATCACCAGTGAACTCGTAATTTTGAAAAGTAGACCCATCTAAAAATTTCCCTCAAAGTTGCCCTCAATTGCGCCATGTTTTAACTCATTCGCTACACGCCGAGCCGTGGGGGACGGTGCGGCTAAAGTGCCGTCAGTACCCTAAGCCGCCCCTGGCGGCTCGAGAACCGACGTTCAATTTTAGCTTGGTTTCTATTCCAATCCACATATCCATGTTAAAATAAAGGTCATAATATAAAGTAGACTTCCGGGTCAAGCGTTTCCACCGAAAATCGGAAGTTTTGATTCAGTTTTGAAACACGATTTCGAAGTTTATGCGACATTGTTTTATCGCGAAGCCCAAATTTTAGCCCAGACAACAGTCTTAGTAGCCCACTTTTACACAACAAAATGTATCATTATTTTGCTCACTAAAGAGGTGTAGGACTCTTCTTTATAATATTGATACTACTGGACTCAAATTGCCAGTGCACTGTAATTGAGAAATCAATATTTTGAGTGCTAGATCTAGGCCTAGATCTAAATAGTCAAAATATTTTTTTTTCTCCCCAAAATCACTACTCTTTGGTGAATTTACTCAAAAAGTACCACCCAAGACATGTATAGGTTTATTCCAAATGCAATTCTGAATAATTCCATATAAGATATGAGTGTTTTTTTCTGTTTGGGATCCTTTTTTCAAAATTGTTAAAAAAAATTTTTTTTTTCAATATCGGAGGTTATGATCCAAATGTACAAATATTATGGAATGTATGTAAATAACTGCTCATTTTTCAATATTTTCCTGTTCTATATACAGTTATGGTTATTTTGAAGTATAATTTGACTAGGTGCAAACATATTTTTTGAGTTTCATCTGAGATTATAAATTTTTTATTTTCAAATTTTATCCGTAGCCAATCACAATTGTGTTGCATAATCGCCTCTTACATGAACCAAAGTTGAAAAATACTCAAATAAACAATACAGATGTATTCTACAAACCATACTGAAAATATTGGTATATAATATGTTGATATTTATTTGAATTTATGGCCCCCAAGACCTGTGAACTGCGCACTAGTCATCATCTCATTTCGCCCTCCCGAAAAAAATTCGTCCACAAGCCGAAAATAATACGTAGCGAACGAGTTAAAGGGTGCTCGGGAACAGCCGTGAGGTACAGAGTAACTGGATTTTGAAAAATGTAAAAAAAAAGCTGGCAGGCAGTGGCTTGGTCTGAGCTAAGGCGCCGGCAGCGAGTGAGTTAAGAGTCCTTGGAAACTGCAAGTTTACATTTTTTGAGCTTTTAATCAATGTTTTTCCATAAAATACATACATAAAAGTGTTTTTGAATGGATATACAAGGCGTTGGGTCAAAAAACAAAAATGTAAAAAAATTTTTACTGGCAGAAAAAAGCTGATTTCTCGGATTTCATGATTTTGATAAGTGCCTGATTTCACCACGATGCCTCACATATAACAATGTGTAAAGGTAAATGAACAAATATTATGAAAATTAAAGTTTAAGTAGGTTAGCTAATTTTGAAAAATGCGCAAAACTGAGAATATATGCTCTTGGGATGGTGGGAGGTACAAGCGTTGCTGAAAATATATGCGCACGGGACTGGAAGAGTAAATCTCTGTACAGAATTTTTAGAGCCAGATGATTAGTGTGACGTACACATAACATCGTATAGGCAACCAGGAACAATAAATGTTCCCAAGTTTCATGACATCCAAGGTACGGCACAAAGCTAAAAATTACGTACTTTTGTGATGTACCAGGTCCATCATAAGGCAAAAAAAGGGTTTAAAAAAAGATGCAGTCTGCACTTGCTTTACAGACATGTTCTTGTTGAGTTTGCAAACATTTGTAACTAGGGACCGAGTTTCTGTTCTGCACAACTTAACCCTATCCATACGCCCTGGGGTCATTTTGTACCCCCAGAATTGTATTCTTCACATTTTAGAATACTTCTAGTACGAAAATCTCTTTGAAACTTTCAGTATTTCTCAAAAAATCATTTTGACAGACTGCTATGCAAAGCATGCGGATCTGATTAATGAGTAAATTTCCTCTTTGGAAAGTGTTGGCAAAGAGTTCCCCACGTCGTACGGATACGATAGTAAAGCACGACGTACAGATAGGGTTAAGATGAACAGTTACTTGCAAAACAGAATTCTTTGAAAATATATTGTCAGTGTCATTTCTATAAATCTCATTTGAATTTAAGACCACCTGAGTGTAGCATGAGAAATTCAGATTTGAACGTCTACATGGACATTTCTTATAACGGATTGCCAGGCTCCAATAAATTCTAAGATCATTGTTAAAATAATTTGTAATGTGTTTAAAGGACAGTGAAAACGCAACATGAGAGTCATTCATAACATATCATCAGTGAGCAAACAAAATGGCAAGTCTCATTTTTGCTTCTTTTGAGATAAAGGGAAAAACCTGTTTAACTAGACTATCATCTAATAATGGTAAAACATTCCATGCATGTTTCTTTTGTAACTGCCAGTACGTTTTCGTTTTAATTTACTAAAAGATAGAATGCATACTCATATAGTACCACCAAATACAATAAAAGACTAATAATGCCATTTCGCTAGCGCAGTGACAATTTATGTCATGTGACTGATCCCAAAGAGATTTTTGTTTTCAAGTGATAGGAAAAGATGATTTTAAAGAAAACGCAAAAATTTAATATATTGTTCTTCATTTATTGTTTCTGCATTATTTTACCAACAGATTACTAAAAAATGCAGTTTCCAAATAGGGAAGAAACTTGCACACAAACAGAAAAAACAAAAGGCACAACATCCCATCTCCAGCACTGAAACATTGTTCTTGTCAGGTTCAATTTCTTCACACCTAAAAATAGGAAATTCACAGAAGACATTCTATTTTCAAACGGTTGTCCTTTCAATTTTTCTCAATACAACCTGGACATCAAAAAGTAACTCTGTCTCACATACATACAAACAATGCTTATGAGGAAATAGACATCAATTAAAAAACTGGGTACTTTTCACTACATGACATGAATAACTCTTCAATACACTCAGTACTCACTCTAATATATGCAAGACAGCATATTCATGTATTCATCTTTCAGCACCCTGGATAAATCTTCACTGCATACCTCATACTCTTTTATACCACACAAACAATGACATACTCTCCTGAGGAACCTCTACAAATATGTAAATGAAACTTACACTTTTGTCTTTACACGACAAATAAAATAATATGCATTTGTTTTTACACATAAATCCAATTCTAACATTTATACAAACTGATAACTAAATCACATACTCCTTCGAAATATACATAAATTTATACAAGTTTCTCAAGTGAAAATCAACATTCATCCATAAGCCAGCAACACTTCATAGATATCTCATTATACAGGACAGCGTTACAAGCTTTTCAAAAAGAAATGAAAGTCCCTACAAGTTCCAATTTGAAATCCTATTATAAGAAGTCATATCGACTATAAGCTTACCACCTCGTCTAACAGATAATCATCCGTTTTGAATAAAAATATTGAAAAATGAGGAGTTGACATCTACTATTGACAAACTGGTAAAGATACAATGAGTCCCAGTTTGAAGCAAGAAAGGATCTATCATAATATAAAAACTGAACTCACTGAAATCCTCATTAAAGCATTCTCAGGTGAATATAATTAATGCTTCAGATAACACCTGGGCTTACTCACAATGAAGTTGTTTAAAGTAAGACAAAAGGTTTACGACTCTTCCTCCAATGAATTTTGACAAGTTTGTTTATTATTCTCTACAAGCATAATCTAATAGAAATGTGTCATAATGCAATGGAATCAGGGTCTCTTTAATTTTTGAGCATGTGGCTTATTGGTGTCATTTTACGGCTTGTTAATTGGTCTTACTTTCAATGAAAAAATACTCATAAATCTTATAAAAGTCGAGATATTTGCGATAGGAGGTGGGTGTCGTCTGGTTTTAGAGGTAAAATTAGAGAGAAAATGGTCACTAAAGTTTGATGATTTTCAAAGCTTTGAGTGTCCTTGAAAACTCCAAATTTACATACAGTCCATACCGGCTTTAAGCACGGTCATCGGGAGAAAGCTTAAGTGTGCTTAATGCCGAAGCGTGCTTGAGTGCGAAGTAGACATAATCCAGAGATTTTCATCTAGAAAATTTCTCGTGCTATTTCCCTTTGTTTGTAAGTAGGCTTATAGTGGCCCCGCAGAAGTGTGCACTGGTATTTTTACCCGCCATGGTAGTTTCTGTTTGCTTGTTTGTTTTTGTTTTGTGGTCGAATGGGAAATGAAAACTTAATTTACATGTCCAGTCACGGTACAGCACATTAGGCCTACACACTGCATGTGCGTACCACTGCCCGCTGTGCCACTCATACCACCGCCTTCATCCCACCTCGCGAGTGATACACAATCAGGATTAATGGATAGTGACGGTCAAAAGTGAAATCGCAGCCAGCCTCCCTTTCTCATCTCCCCGACTCTCATTGCATTTTTTTGTCTGTGTGTAGCTTTGCTCTAGGCTAGATCCTATGTCCACGCGCACGGCTGTGTGCATCTCTCTGTCTTCCTCTCCGCCCGTGTGAGTGTGTGTCTCCATCACTTGCATTCTTTGTGTTTCTCTTAACACACTCCACTGCTCCGGTGTAGACTGTGTTTCATCTTCGATGGGTCTTCAGTCTTCTTGAAAGTATTGACTGTCTTGTAAATGAAGCGTGCGTGAAGCCGAAGTTACCGTGCTTAAAGGCGTGTAATTTATATAGCAAAAAATTCAGTAAGAGCCGTTTAGCTTGCTTTGAGTGCGAAACGTGCTTTATGCCGGTGTGCTTAAAGCCGGCACGGACTGTATTTTGTGCCTTTCATCAACGTTTTCAATAAAAAGCACCCAGAAATGTATTTTTAAATGTATAAAGTTATAGAGCCAACAATTTTAAAAATCCATAAAAATTAACCAACAGGTGGAAAAATGTCAGTTTCTCTGATTTCATTATTTTGAAGCGCCCAATTCCACCACACTATGACACATATATGATCCCAGATTTTTAGCCGAAGAACCTAATAAGCCAGAATTATGACAGCAGAGTGATTATCTCCTCTAATTTGGTAATTTACTATTTGGCAATTTATTTTCTTCATTATCTTCAATAATTAGATTGTTTACTTTCAAAATTATTATATCAATCTCAATATTCTGAAAATGATTTTCAAATTGATTAAGGTTTTTATTTAAATCATTTGGAAAATTATTTTCAAAATTATTTGGGAGCAGTAAGAGTATTAGGATCACGCATCAGGTTGCAGGATTCTGCTTGACCATGAACAAACTTTGACAGTTGGATCCACAGAATCTTGGAATGTCCACAGGTTCATGCTCGTCCGTTACAGAAGCACCAGGACAACGGAAGGTGAAAGAGAAAAAGGAAGATGACCGACAATTACCCCCAGGCCTGAGTACGGCAGTAGTGGAGCACAAGTTTTCCATCACTGCCAAAGCACTGCAAAAGACAAAATACAATGTGTCATTGAAAAACATTGTAATGAGACACAATAAGATAAGAAGAAGTGAATTTTCAGCAACCCAAAAAAAGTCTTGCGGATTCTGAAAAATGATAATGTGTACACTTCTGATTAAAAATAATTAATACACTGAAGATAAAAACCTACAAACATTATCTCTTTTTTTCTGACACATAGATCTAGATCTAGACACACAGGCATGTATAATGAAACTTCGATAAAATGAATTTGGATTCTACCAAAACAGATGGTACCCCTGGTTTTTTTTTTCATTAAAGTCAACACAAAATAAAAACAACAAAAAAGAAAACATGTCAGATAAATAAGAAAATCAGAAACAAAACAAAAATGAGCTGATTATTTCGCAGGGACCTTAGAGATTGTTATGAACATGCTTATTCCTGAATATCATGCTTATTCCTGAATATTTGTACTAAAGAAAATCATTATTAAGTGTGTTGTCACCATATGTTGGTCATCGGGGTAGAAACAGGCACTCGTCAAAATTTAGGGAATGGAGAAATCAGTATTTTTCTCCAATGTTGGGCAATTTGTTTGTTGGTTTTTTTTTTTTTTCGCAGAAACCTTCCTCTTCCATAGAAAATCACCCATTTCAATGGGGATTTTGTTAAAAAATGTTTCCTGAAGCCCAAAAATATGAAATTTTGAAGAACGAGTAAGAGTTTTTTTAGCTTTAGACATCACCAAACTTTGACAACCATTTTCTCAGTCTGTAACAGCAGGCAACCCCACATTCTTTGATTGCTCCTATCACCACTTCTGTACAAGATTTTTAACACCATGTTAAAAAAAAAAATGAACAAGCATTAATAAGATAGCAATAACTCCATATGCTCAAAAAATGACGAGCACCTGATTTCATCACACTTCAGCATTCCCACATTTGACCTAAGGTGGAGGTTCTTTAACTGATTGCCTAACTGACAGTAAAATATATGGCTAATTTTCCCACTGAATCACATGACCATGACCCTCAACCTTTCCAACAGCTGTAAGCCATTTGTTAAGGAAGCCGGGATTTCAAAATAAACATTTTTCTCTCACAGATTCTGTCAATGTTAAATTATTGTCATCTTGTCACAGTCACCTCAATTCATTAGTACAAACAAGTCTTGATAAAATGTTTCCCACTAGTTCTATAAAATATTTAGACTATCTCAAATATCTACACATTTAAATATCAGAACTGGCAAATCTTCCACCACCATCAGCAAGCTATCAAAAAAAGTTTGGTGAAGTAGAAATCTCAATATCAGGGCCAAGTTGAACGTGCATAAAAACATGCATTCCGAGCACACTGCAGCACGTGAGAGAGACATGGACATTCTCGTCACATCAAAAGTAAAAACTGAACAGTTTTGACGCAAAATACCTTAGAAAGATACTAGGATTAACCCCTTAGTTGCCTCATGATGTACCTGGTATGAGTCATGAAACCTGGTACGTCATGAAAAAGTGTAATTTTTAGCGCTGTGCAGTACCATGTAAGTCACAGAAGTTGGCAAAATTTGCTGCTCCTGGTTGCCTATATGACTATGACGTTACTTGTACGTCATGCAAATACCCTGGCTCTAATTCTTCTGTACGGAGTCTTAGCCACAAGCGCTGCATAGATTTGTATTCGGGAATAAAAGACGCACATATCTCTACCAAATTTGCTAGTATTTCTTTACTGCTAGGCTTGCAAGCAATCGTTAAACATAGATCTACACTTGAAGGTTGCTGCGTGCTCTCATAAAATGTAAACATCGAAATGACTTTAAAAAGGCAAATAAAGTGATAAAAGTGTGCGTCTGAAATATGTCACGAGTGTACTAGATCTAGACCGTGCGTCCATTCACACTGAGACATTAGGCTGCTGTCCTGGGTAACGAGGTCAGCTGAAAATTAGTACTGACAGTAGGAACGCATACTCCCTGGCAACTAAAGGGTTAATATGAAAAAAAACACCTATGTGGAAGAACTATAAAATGGAAGGAGCAAAAAATTTGTTACAACTACTAAGATGCAAATAACCTGCATGAGGAATTTAACTTCAACAGTGATCATCTTTGGAACCTGAGAACGGATAGCAAAAGAAGAAGGAAGTCACAAAATGAAGGAAAAGGAGGAACAATAAAGTCATATGCAACTCTAGAAGATGCACAGGATGACACAAGGTATAGAACATGGATAGTTTCTTTGCGCTCTTGGCAACTACCATTTTCTGATCAACTCTGACCTCATTAACCACACGCATCACCATCACAGGACACAAAAAAATATCCGCCAATTCACTATTGTCTGTTGTGGTGGGACAGTACTGTGTTATTACAAAAATATTAACATAGACTGTGCTTCATTCTTCACAGAACATATGAGAAGAATACTTACATCAAATATCGATCCAATATCTGTGTCTGGTGAAGGGGCAAAAGCTTGATTCACGTACAAAAACTGAAAAAGGAAATATTGAACACTGGCTCATAGGATGACTTGAAAACAAAAAACATTTCAACAGTGAACTAAAATGTTTTGCGTGGGTTAGCCTATTGAAGATTACTTTGATCCTGCGCAAGAGGTTGGTGGGCACTTGGATGGAGTGATCCTTCAACTTCTTATCAGTGTTGCACATTATAGATGAGAATAATCATTAACCACACGCATGCGTAAGCAGTTGGCGATTAATGAAGTGAATAAATATTGATCAGTAAACCTTTCCAGTCACAATCATTTTTATTGTTCTAAAAGAGCAAGGGAAAGGACGTTATATTTTATATCCCTTGATTTTGTGGTCCCAACTGTTAAGGTGGATGAGTTGATCTTTTTTTGCACTCCCCCAGCCACATCAACTCATCCATAGTCTACTGTACATTAAAAAACAACAACAGGGAAGAGATCTTCCTATCACATAGTTAAAAGAAAAAAAAAAGTAGTCTGAGGATAAAACAGTGGTTTGTATGAGTTTGAAGAATCTCAAGTGAAAGAGATTAAGAATTTTTCAGCAGTGAAAAATGCAGCTCATGGCCATAAAGAACGAGATGTGCAGGCTTCAGAATGTCGCCTGTCCATGGTAATGAATTAATGCACAAGGGGGTTTATTTCATTGTGCATAATATTATTATGATCTGCAACAAAGTAAACATGAAAGTTTTGCTCTGCAGATAGCAGAAACGGTAAATAAAACCTTAAAAAAATCAGTCAAAATACTTTGATTCACTTTTGAAATAATTGTAAAAACAATCAAAGTGACACGACAAACAGACATCTCAGAAATACTAACCAACGATTCTGATGCTTCACTTTTGATGTACTTTTTGATGAAATCAGATACCCAAGATATCTTCTTTGTCCTATCAACAGTCCATTTCTTCTTCTTCATAATGGGGGCATCGCCTGCTGGTTTCAACAGGATGTCAACTGGCAAAAAGAAGCACAAAGACCCTTAGACTGCTTGCCACAGTTCAATGTGAACTCCCATTTTCATAGGAGAAAAAAATGTTTTCTTCTATTTTGTTGAAATAAAGTTTCCATGCATGTGATACACTGCTTACTTTTGTAATATTTTAGAATGCTTTCTGTAAACAACAATAATGACAGGGGGAAAAAAAAAAGAAAAAGAAAATCATCTAATGAACTTAAAGAATGCAATAAAGTGTCAACAGTTTCTTTCTAATACAAAGTGGGAGAGCAATAAACTAAAAACTCAGCCTGTCAAAAAACTTACATCTAATATCTAGCTCTATTTGTTATATCTGTAATGTTGTTATATCTGTAATGTACCACAATACTGGAGCATTAAAAAAAATGTTGCAAAAATACATTTCAAGAGCTATGGTCTCATCAAATTCCCTGGGTAAGAAAATAAACCAGGTCAAACACATACACTCAAGTTGTTGTCAGCTTGCCTCTCATACATTACGTGGTAAGTTTATTTCTCATCATAACCAGAAAACGACACTAGTCTACACATGGTGTGAGAATTAAGTTTGAGTTTGTGTGTGTGTGTGTGTGTGTTTATTTGAACGTGAATGATGGAGGAGGGGGTGGGGGGACAGCAGCATTGAATTTAAATCTCTGAACCTCTGCGAATGGGGAGCAAAGTCCCAGTGCGTTCAGCAAGTTCAGAAGAAGCCTGGAGGAGAAGTGGCGATGAAAAAGACACAAATTTCTACTTGTAAGGGAGCAATCATAGATCTCGGTCAGCTGGCAGCTATTTTCAGATGTATATTGTCGCACGTATTGACAGTTTCAAGGAGCAGCACCAAGAGGCCACCAAGTAAGCGCATGTTCTTTTCCATAATATAAACATATAAAATTAGATTCACTGATGGATAGACTTCTTTTTCAAATGTAGATTTTTGATCAATTGACGAGCTGCCTTGACAATTTGCTTCTGCCAGGCATCATTAATGCTGTTTGGTGTTTCATAAAATTCTTGTATTAGTACAACTGAAGAAGCCAATTATCTAAATGTAATAACACCTGCTCCCCATCAAATTCTGCTATAACGTTAAATGCTTTCCCTTGCACCCCATCAGTTGTTTTGTTTCCAGGTACTGTGGTCCATAAATTTAAATATACTGCGCCATTCACCTCAAGCAGACGGTCTTCCAAAATGGTCATCAGATCTTGAATATTGATCTGCTCATATTCATTTGCTTTCAAACAAGATACAATGTAATGACCAGCATCTATCTTTAGAGCATCTTGAGGTCTCAATGATGTCCTTACTTTTTAAAAAAGATTCAACGTCTAATATAACAGAACATAGCGGCTGCTTATAAATTTTGAAGTTGCAACAGAATAAAAACAACAGAGAATAGTCGCTGTCAATTCGTCCTTTCTTTATTGCGTCCTGACTTTTGGTCTCAGTTCATACGTGAATGACATGATAGGCTTATGACTTTGACAGCAAAGTTTTCTTTTCAGACCACAAAAAAATCAGTGAGTGCTAAATTGGAACTCTTGGAGACTTAATTGAAGCTTGCATTTCACCCTGCTGCTGCCTGGACTGTGACTAGTCTTTCTATTTTGTAAAAGATTTTGTACTTTTATGTAAGATCGATGACAGGAAATGTGTACTTGGTGTCCTTTAGTCACTTCTAGTTGTTCTTTTTATGTTACAACTGCTAGAATACCATTCACACATTATTTTATGTCAATTTCAAAAGGGGAAATTCTCTAGAGGGAAATTACACAGTTTAAACATCCACTGAAAAGCTCCGACTGAGGGTGTTTTGGAGAAAACGCATAACTTTTTACATGAATCATTACTGTTGACATAAAAGCACAGATACCAATGATGAGTACCTCATTTTCAGGTATCTTCGTAAATGGATATGTAAAAAATTTCGTGCCAAAGTAAGTACGACTAACCGATTTGGTTGTAATATATAAGTATAAGCTTTGCTATTTTGACAACCTTTAATGCATTTTAAATCAATTTCCTCCTCGATTTCAAAAGCTAATGTTAATATGTTAATAGTAAAACCGTGTCACTTTTATATTTGTTGCAATTTTTTTACGGCCTAATTTAGAGTCTAGGCTACATCTTTCTGTCCTTCTTCCACTCTTCAATACTCAGCATGTTCAAATCAAGGTATTCGTACTCAACTGTACAGTTGTAAAAGGCCTAAATTCATATTTTGCATGCCCTGTGTCCTCCACCTGGTCATAAAAATTTCAGTTTCAAGCTAAAAAATGATCCCCAAATTTTTACTTTCACTCCCGTACACAGATGCACTGCTTCGGGGGTCAAACTGCAGTATTGTTTGCTGCAGATCACACATAAAGCCACCACAACTGTCTCAAATCAATTATTTTCAAAGAAAATTTCAAACCTAAATGCAAAATATCAAATTATGGGTTAAAACTGTAACCCCCCAGATTTTTTTTAACCCCACTGGGGCAGGCCCCTCTGAAACTCCCCGATTGGTCCAAAGCGCACAAATTACTACGTGGTTAGGCATAGTGTGATATAGCTCAATTAAGAACAATCAAATATTTCAAAAACTATTAATTTGAGACAAAAATGAAGTTGATATTAGTGTTCAGCACAGGGTTGCCAGATAAAAAAACCAAGAAGAGGCCAAAGTTTTCAGGTTGGAGGCCAAAATGGAGGCTAAATAAATACAAGTTAGGGGGCCAATTTTCAAGGTCAAGGGTTATAAAGATGCTAATTATCCCGTTAGAACTTATAGGTAAGTTATATTGTCCTGCTTTCCTTTCTGTTATCTTCCTCAGTCCTCTTGTACAGTCTTTTGCTCTTAACCTTACATTTACCAAACACGTTTCATAAATGGTGGCATGAGATCTACACCTACTGCCGCATGTGAAATTCTATCAAATGTTGAACCCCTGGGAATACGCAGAGATAAAGCAGTTTTGGAGCTTCATGAAAGAACCAAAAGAATGTGCCCCAACCATCCAAACAGGAAATTAGTAGAAACATGGAAACCAAAGAAACGACTTCAACAAAAACCAGTCATGCATTGCATCACAGAACTAATGGAGAGCCACCATCTACCACAAAACAGAAGAGAAACCAAAAGAGTCAAGCAAAGCATCCCTCCCCACATTTCTATGGAAAAACCAATCCTTAAAACTTCTCTCAGAGACAATAGCACAAAATCTTCAGACCCAGTGAAGTTGATGCTTGCATCACATCAAACAATCGACAGTTATTCAGATGACTGGATACATGTCTATACAGATGGCTCAGCATTCAAAGGCACAACCAAAGCCGGATATGGAATACTAATACAATACCCAGATGGAAGTTCCAATGAGATCTCTGCAGCCTGAGAAATGTAACAACTACGACGCAGAAATGATAGCAATTGAAACAGCACTGTACCATCTCCGCACAGTTTTTGACACTCATCCAAACAAAACACAGAGTATAGTGATCTTCACTGACTCACTATCAGTCTTGCAAGCAATAGAAAATGACCACCATCTAAACGAAGACTTGACACGTATACTGTTTGGCTCCCATCATCTGATAACATTCTGTGGCGTCAACCTGGTGATGCAGTGGATTCCCAGACACTCAAACATACCTAGAAATGACAGAGCAGACACACTCGCCAAAAGGGGATCTAGACAGGAACAACCCAAAATTCCAACTTCATACAACACTGCAAAACAAATCATTAAAAGCAACAGCAAACAAGATTGGATGAACACATGGGCCTTGGGAAAGACAGGCAGAGCAGTTTTCAAACATATGACTACAACAAAACGAAATGACCATATCAACCACCTTCAGAGAAAGAAACAGACCACGATCCTCCGCCTACGAACAGAACATATACAGCTCAACTTTCACTTGAACAGAATAATACCAGAACTTCCCCCAATGTGTCCTTTGTGTGACTATGCATATGAGACAGTGGAACATCACCTTTTCCACTGTACAGCCCTAAATGACATCAGAGCTACCCTTCTCCCTCCGAGACCTAACTTCGACAACACACTCTATGGAACATTACAGCAACTGCAGCAAACCTGCACTTATCACTACATGGCATTGGACAGAAGGGCAAGAGCCCAGATGTTGCTGGATCGATAACAACAACAACAACAACCAAAAACTGATTGAAGACCAACGTCTTCAAGCACAATAATTTGCATGTAGTGGTGAACTCAAAATTTTAGTTCATGAGAACAATTTAACAACAGATAAGCCTACATATATATATGTGAGGCAGCGTGGTGGAATCAGGCTCTCGTCAAAATAATCAAAGTGAAGAAACTTGCATTTTTCCGCAGGTTTGTGAATTTTTATTAAATTTTTGTTTTTTGGCTCGACGCCTTTCATGCCCATTAAAGAACTCATTTCTGTGTGGATTTTTTATGAAAAGCGTTGATTAAAGGAACAAAGAGGTAAATTTTCTGTTACCACAGACTCTTAAGGTAAGGAAATAAGTAATCTTTGGCGGCCATTTTCTCACTAATTTTACCTCTGAAAACAAGTGACCCCCACCTTCTTTTTTCGCAAATATCTCGACTTGTATTCAAGATAAACGGATATTTTTTCCATCCAAATAAAGACTAGTGAACGAGCTTTAAGATGATACCAATAACTCGATGTGCCCAAAAATTGACGAGAGCCTGATTTCATCATGATGCCTCACATATATATAATATTACAAGTTCTATTTACAAAGCACTATGCTCATGAAATCTGGAGTAATTTCTAGATATCAAACAGCAAAACTGCATCAACATCAGCAGTGTTATCTTCTTGTGGTGTGGCAGCTGCAAGTGCAGACGCAGCGGATGAAGCCCTAACGGCTTGTAGATAAATTCTTACTAGTGCGTGCAGAAATCATCGCAGGAGTAGCAGAAAAGTAATGGCAGTGTTTTCCTTTCAATTTCAAAACAAGATTGAATCGAATTCTTATTATTGCATC